ATATATATATATATATATATATATATATATATATATGAGCCAAAAATTGTAATAAAAAGGAAGTTTGTAATGAATATTCGGCCGGCAGTGAAATGAGAATGGGATGGTAGTTTGGCCTTATAGAGCCTTTAATCACATCATATTTATATGAACATAGTGGACTTATCTTATTTACAAAGTCAGAACGACATTTTTCTTTCTTTCTTTTCATATATCTTTATTTGATTTTGTACAGTTTCTTTTATATTTTACAAATAAAAATATGTAATATTTAATGTTATTCGAATTGAATTACGAGGTTGAAGAAGGAATCGAGTATAATAGGATGCGAAGGGGAAGATGTAAAATATTAACGAAATCAATCTTAAAATGATAAAAAGACTATTTTAAAGCATTTCAATATATATAAAAGACTGAATTGAATTTTTTTAAAAGTAAAAATTAAATCTGAATAAAAGATAGAAACCAAATAATATTATCATGTATATAATTTAACCTATGAAAGTTAACACTAAAATGCATTGTAAAGATTAAACTACGTAACATATTCTTTAAATGAAATCTAACTGTATTTATTCATAATCAATTTTCCATTTGATCCTATTTGTTATATAAAACACATATCTCTCCCATTTTTTTTTATTTGGTGAATGACTTGAAATTAAGCAAGGATGGAATATGGCGTTGTATGCAGAAAGCTAGGGGGGACAAAGGAAAACAACAGACAACTTTGGTGGCCCTGAAAAAGAAAATTACCAATTTACCACATTCACAGTACTTGCTAACTATCCCCATAGAGTAGAGTGGGGAAAAGAAGATAGAAAATTTGTTAGAAGAAGAAAGAAGAAAGAAGAAACGAAGGTTGACGACGACAGCGAAGCATCCGACAAGACAATGAATTGGTATGTCGTTGTGTTGTGTGTCACACATGTCAGCAACAACTAGGTCTAGTAGAGTGTAGAAAATGGGGTTAGGATTGTGCGTGCGTAAGCACGATAAGACACAGATTTGATTGGTTAAGCTTCCACATTCTCAAGTTCTGAAGCCTTCGACAACAAAACAAGTAGAACGTAGCTGGGTGGTTGAATAGAACATAGAAGTTTGCAAATACGAGCTTAGATTTGGTGCGCATGCAGGGCATGGCATTGTGGTGAGGTGAGTGTTGTAACGTGGAGTTGTACTTGTGTTGTGCACAATTTGCTTCATGAATGGGTACGCACAAAGAGTTGTCGCCATGCAAATAAAGCCACCGTGCTGATTCAACTACCTATAACTTCAATCGTACTTCTAAATTCTAATTTTTAACTTCAAATTGCACATTGCACTTCCACTCACTAATCCTACTTTTGTACTTTTTAAAAATTCACATAACTTTAGTCAATTTTAAGCATGATATAAAATCATAAAAAAATAATAATTTACCTTTAAAAATAATAATTCACACATCTACAGACAATATAAAAGATATCCCCATTTACTCTCCATTGTAGAGTCTTACATTATTATATTTGAACCACCCACCTAATTCATATTGGTAAGAAAATTGATGTAATTTGTAAAGAATGTGAATTTTGTTTGTCTTTCTGAGAAACCTTGAATTGTTTATCACATATCATTCCTTCCTTCATTGAGAAATCATGCCGTTCTAATCCATAGGCCCACCCAATTGAATATTTATACAAATTTAAAAAAGGAAATGCAATCATGGTTCACACTTGAAAGATATAAAACACAATTATACACCATTAGTTAGTTTTTACTTTAAAGTTAAGGTACCATTGACTATATACATAACAAATTATTTTTAGCTTTATAATTTTTAGAAGTTATTAAAGTTAAGTTTCCAAAAAGAATAATATAAATAAATTCAAATTATATATATATTCTAGTTACAAGAGTACTGTGTAAAAGAGAATTTCAAAGAGTAAAAATATTACTATTTAAAAATGTAATTATATATATGTATATATATATATATATATGTATGTATATATAAAAGTAGGTGGGTAAAGTTATTATTTATAGAATGAAAGTTAAATTAACGCGTATTTTTATGTATGTGATACATTGTAATGAAAAGAAATATTATATACCTTTTCCACTAATTATTTTAAAGATTAAAAAAGGTAAAAGTTTATTTAAAAAATGAAAAGCAATTAACTTTTGGGAAACAATCATTGTCAAAACATGCGTTGAAGCACGGCATTGTTAAAATTGAAAGAAGACAAAAAACAAATAATAATAATTGAAGGTTCGTTATAAATTATGAATAGAATAAAGGGAAGCTAAGTCTTACAAAATAAAATAAAAAAAAAAATAAAATATGGTGGGGAATACCAGATGAGAGAGAGGAGAGCTATTCGAAAAAGACTGTGACCTTTAATTATTTATATTGGTAGTTGGTAAATATATGTATATGTGTGGATAGATAGATAGGAAATATAATAATAATAATAATAATATACTAGAAAAATTATGATATATTAATAATTCATTTTTCTTAAACATTTATTTAATAATTATTTTTAAATTTTTATATTATTATTTATTTATTTTACTTTATTCTTTTTTTATCAAGTAATTAAAAAAAATGTATTTTAAAATTATTTATTGAAAAAAATTGTGGTCTCAAAAATTCTTTTCCTCATCTAATATAATGATTATAACAAGCAATTAACTGCTAACTTAACTTTAAAAAATTACAAGGAAGAAAAATAATTCTAATAAAATTATTCTTAACATAATTTCATTTTTTTTCTAAATTATTATTATAGTTTAATCTTTTGTTTTAGAGTATTTTTAATCAGAATTGCTGAGTTGTTTACAAATAAAAATAAATATTTTATTATAATTTTATATTTGAGTTGTTTAAAATAAATAAAAAATTATTTAAAATTAGAAAAAAATATTTATAAACTAAGTTTTAAACAATTTATATATGAGATGTATAATAAAATTTTCATATTTATTAATAGTATAAATTTATAGGAGTTTTTTTCAAATTAATATAAAAATAAGGATTTGTTTGTTTATTATTTTTTAAAATAACTTTAATTTTTTAGATAAAAATACTTTGTTTAGTATTTATTTTATTAAAACATATTTTGAGAATTATTTTGATTTTTAAAAATTGAAAATATAAAAAAACTGACAATACATGTTTTCAATCATAATTTTCTGTTTTTATTAATAAATATTAATGCTTTATCTAATAATTAATTAAATTATTCATTTTTATTTTTATAAATATCAAATTTGTTTTTAAATTTTTGTCATAATTATTTATAATAATGTAAGTCACGCTTTTTCATTTAAAATAATTTTAAAAAATAGAATTCTTAATTTTTTTTTAAATTAAAAAATAAAATTAAATAAAAAAAATTCTAAGATTTATTTTATTTTATTTAAATTAAACTTACTATAATAAAACATAAAAGGAAGTCAAATGGAGTAAGTGCAACTCTTTTATTCTGTCAAGAAAAAGTGTAACCCTTTTAAAAAAAATTATTTACACTCGTGTAAGTTACTTTAATTACTTCCTCAAATTACTCTTTGTTTCCACTTTTAATGCAAAAGTTGTATGGAATAATCTGATTTTAATTAAAAAAATTAAAAGGTAAAGAGATAATAATGAACTAATTTAAAGTTTTGTAAAGCATCTCAAAGTTTCTTTTACAATAATTTCTTATTAATCAAAATATTATATTAATATGAACTCTACAAATACGAAACTTGTTTTAAAAAATATTATTTATAAAACTGAATCAAACAATATTTTTTATTATAAAAAGAACTCTTGATATATAACTCTGTTGGAGACGAGTAATTGAATAATTAATTGTTCATTAAAAGCTAGAATAAATTATTGATGAAGAAATTTATTGAAGAGAGAATTTATGATTTGTCGTACACTATGCACATTAAATATAGAATGAGGCATGTTTTTATATATTAAGGTGTCCATTTGGTTGTGAAGAGGCACATGCAGTGGCCAAGCCATGGTCACAGCCTCGTAAGGGTCATCTTAGGACTGGCATAAACACCGATATCCGAAGACACCGTGTGGATTGCGCGTTTCTCTCTCATTGTTTTTTCAGAACAAATTCTACGACCATATACCATATAATAATCTCTCTCTCTCTCTCTCTTTCTCTCTCTCTTTCTCTCTCTCACCTCAACATCTACATCCAACACTCCAACTCCAATTTCACTTGTTTCATTTCGCACACAACACAATCATGTTCCTCTGACAGTTATCAGCTCAGGCACAACTAGATCTTGGGCTCGAATTACTAACCCTTCAGAAGGTTCGATTTTTGACCACAAATTGTCCCCCCTTTGTGCGTGGGTCAGTGTCTGTTACAATCACGACGTGTTTTTGTTTTGGTCAGTTAGTTCATGTTCCCTTTAACCCCTCAAACTATCGCCATGTGTCTGCTGGTTGTTTTGCGCAGACTTTTGAATTCCTAGCATACCCCTTAAATCAGTATATATTCTTAATTTGATATCTGATAGATGCAGCATGAGTATGGGCTGCAAGCTCTAGATGTCGTATACAAATATTTTTTTTCAAAGAATTTATTCTTGTACTGCAAGTTTTACTTGGTTGGCATATATTGTTCATCTGATTTTTTGAATGGTTGGTTGGTCTTCTTCCACTGCGTAGGTCTATTTCAAGAGACAAATATTCGTGGAGCTTTGAGTTGCGTCATATACTACAACTCTGGCCAACTCTCTAGCCATATTTTCACTGTCAGTAGAAGGTGTTGGTCCTTCCTTTTGTGGTTCGCAGTTGTGTGTGGGCAGGCGCCTATCTATTGTCCTGCGCCTTCCCGTCGATTATGGCTAACATTTGACTTTATAATGTCGCTGCTATGGTATGACTGAGTCAGACAAGACGTGAGCGGCAACAGGATTATATGAATAGTACAAAGTTTCAATGCGTAAAGAGGATTGAATAAAATTACAGAAAGGATTCAGAACAAGCTTTATCTTCTGCCATGGCCTTGTGCAGGTGTCTCCCTTTTTGTACCGGAAAGAAAGAGAAAGGGAAGGTAACAAATATGTACTTATATTGGTTGTCTTGATTTCTAATTTCAAAAACTAAATTGGGTGTGTTTGATTTCTATTTTCAAACTACTTTTATCTATAGAAAACAGATATCAACACTGAGCTCATGCCTCCCACATGCAGCACCACTTTAGATGACTTAGATCCTTGAGTTAGGACTACAAGAAAAAGATATGAGAAAATATCTTTCAGTCTACCTGCATCTTGTGGTGTAATCCGTGTAACTTACTTGCTTTGTTTAAATCTTCAGGGTACCGCTGAAGGGTCTTCAATAGGGGACCTTAAAGGTCAACTTGGTGGAATACAGCACAGGAAAATTTCATCAGAGAATCGTTGTTTGAAGCCGGCCACCCTTGATGTCACAGTACCCTGTGCTGTGCAGAAGAATTCCAGAGCAAACGTGAGGGTTATGAATCTTGAGAGTCCTGTGAAGACTGAAGTGGAGGAAGCTTATGAAGGGGAAGATGAGCATGAGGAGTCTCCTTCCATCAAGAGGGAGCTCTCTAATTTTGATCTTCAATTCCACCAAGCTGCTGCAAGCAAAGGAGGACATGATCCATCAAATGAAGAGATAAAATACCCCAGTTGGTGTGAAGACCAAGCTAACATTCAATTCGATGACAGAGACCATAAACACAGCAAAAAGAGTGATGATATCATCCAAAGTGGACATGTCAGTGATCCTGGGATTGGCAAGGCTGACTTTTGGGCTTATCCAAAGCTCAAGAGATCTTGTTCTGACCTTGAAAGAAGGGATGTACTCAGGAAGACTTCTCATCTCTTTCCTTCTTCTAAGTCACAGCCTTTTGATGATTTGCAGGGATTATCAGCAGATCAGATTGTTAATCTAGAAAGCCCCAGGTCTGTGATGACTCACTGCAGTGCTGATAGAGTGATGTTGAAAAGGCATTCCTCAAGTCAAGTTCTTCCTTCTAGAAGTAGAAGATTGTGGTGGAAGTTGTTCCTCTGGAGCCACAGGAATATACATAGACCTCAGTTAAGCCAATCGACACAAATACATCCTGCAATTGTTGCTTTAAGCAGTCAGTGTGGTTACTCCTCAGACACCCTTGAACCAAACAAAGGCAAGGCATTGAGAGATGAAGAATCACCCTCACCCACCTCATCTTTTGGGGAATACTTTCAGAAAAGCTGTGATGACCAAAATATTCCTAACCAAAGGTGGAGCAGATTTCACAAAGAAAAATTTGGTTTTTGGCCGCAGAATCAATGGGTGGCTTTCTCAACAGAATCATCCTCGCTTAGCAGAGTGGATGAGTGGGTGAAAGATCTCGAAATTCAGCGACCTCCTGAGGATGATTTTGATGATGACAACATTGGAAGCATTGCCTTCCCACCTTCTCCTGATGATGGTAGATCAATGGCAAGAAGCACATCTCTGTTGATTCGACATCCAGATGCCAATCTTGCCAAGGATATATTGAATGCCAATAGTGTGGTCCAGTCCCTGAACCCAGCCTCAACTGCAGCTCATATATCAGGCATTGGTATAAAAGCCATCCCCTCTCTTGCACACTTCTTCAGTCTCCGCTCTGTCAATTTGTCAAGCAATCTTATAGGTATACTTGCCCGAGAGAAAAAAGTTATCCTTAATATAGCATTAGTTAATAATAATACAATAATAGTAACTGAACTGATCGGCTCTCCTTATCATTGATTTGTAGTCCACATAACGCCTGGATTTCTCCCAAAGAGTATTCATACACTGAATCTTTCAAGAAACAAAATCAGCACTATTGAGGGCCTCAGGGAATTAACCCGGTTGCGGGTACTTGATTTAAGTTATAATCGCATCTCAAGAATTGGACAAGGTTAGTTTCTATATTGGCTGATGCTCAATGAAGGTTGTCACTTCTCAAATTTGCTAGCCTTATGCAGTACTTCTATAATAAAACTATCCACTGTGTTTTTATCAGGATTATCAAATTGTACCCGAGTCAAAGAGCTATATCTTGCTGGAAACAAGATAAGTGATGTTGAGGGGCTACACAGGCTATTAAAGCTAACAGTTCTGGATTTGAGCTTTAACAAGATCGCAACAACAAAAGCATTAGGCCAGCTGGTGGCCAACTACAACTCGCTTCAGGCCTTGAATCTGCTAGGAAATCCAATTCAAAGCAACATCAGTGATGACCAGTTGCGCAAAGCAGTTAGTGGTCTTCTTCCAAAGCTTGTGTACCTGAACAAGCAATCTATCAAGTCTCAAAGGGGACGAGAAATACTCACTGATAGTGTTGCCAAAGCTGCACTTGGGAACAGCGGCCACAACTCCTACAGAAGAGCACTAAAGAAAGGTGGTGGCCAAGGAGGGTCAAGTTCCTCCAGTATGCCTAGAAGCAGTGCGAGTGTTTCCCATAAAAGCAGGAACAGGTCAAGGAGCCGAACTAAGCACCATTAGTTCTCTGTAAAAGGTGCAATTTATCAGTCTTTTTCTAAGACTTGTTAAAGTGGAGTAGAAATTTTCAAACTTATTTTTACCAATATTTGCTTCAACCTGTAACCCACACCCTGTGAATAAGCCATGGTTGTGATTGTTAGTTATCATGGGTGTTTAATTAATACCATATAGGAGACTTGAATGTAATACAGTCTTAATCGTCTGGCTGGTCTCCCGATATACTAAAAGTGGAATAATAAAAATATGAAAATTTGTGCATTTTCATGTTGAAGAAGGTTACCTGCAGCATTTTTCTTTTAAATCTTTTGACAATGTCACACTCGGTTTGAACATTTTTAAGTTGCTCTGGGAATTCCCTCACTCATTGTCATTAGTAGTGACGAATGTTGGTTGTCAAAAATTTAGAATTGAAACTGAGATTTCGGAGTGAGAGTAAAGATTCCATAAAACACTCTAAATAATGAAATTGTCGCGAAATATGTTTTAATATCTCAAATCTGCTAGTAGCTTCTCAGAAAAAAAATTGTTCGTTTCCCGAAAACAACATCGATTCCGAAGAGCTAAGTTATGATCCGTTGGATCATTTGAATGGATACCCATAAAAATCAAGTCTTCTTTACAGTATTTCTTTTCGGCTACTGCTCTCTTCTCAAGGATCGTATTTCAATTGCACAATTTGAAATTTTCAAGTGGATTTTAGGTTGCTTCTCTAGTGACACGTTTTCCAAGGCTTCTTATTACGAACAAAGTGAAATAAGAAACACAGAATTTGACTCCTAAAATAATATAATATTTCCCAGCTAAGATGAAAGCTTGTAAACATGCTAATAACAGCCTAAGAAAGGAATGCAAAGGAACGGAAAGGGGAATTGATAGACTACTTTATAAAACAATTTCTCACACAATTCAGAGGTCTGTAATCTTATATATATGCATATAACAACAGCAGAAAAAGAAGACAGGGTCCTAGGAGTTATTTTCTTGGAATTTTGCACTAGCGTGCTCAAGATTTCCATAGAAGTTTCAAAATGGGTTTCATCGATAAACAGACTAGTACCCATCCATTAAATTAATCAGTTTCCAGGCACTATTTATGGCGTGTAGATTAGTTACAAATAATTGTCTTCCTGTGCAACTCCACTGGTTGTTGTTGGGTACGCATGGTTACGTATGAAATAGTAAATTAACTTCCGAAGCAACATCAACTTTTATTGTTCAGTTATTTTATTTGCCACTAAATGAAACACTGCTACTTTACATCATTAACCTGTGCTGCAGTACTTTTGCTTCCGTGAGTAGGAACTATTTGAGAGGGGAACGGGGTGGAAGCTGGGACACAGACATCAATTTGCTTCAAGCAGAAGATAGACCAACTGGGCGATAAAATAATGCAAAAATATTCATTTTAAGAAGAATGCTAGCACACCACACTCTCCTGGTTCTCACATTTAATTAAGGCGATAGAGTCTTGAAATAAGAAGTCAATCCTATCAAATTTTATAACTTTTAACAATTTTCTATGAATAACAAAGAAACTATTGCTCTTATTGCTGCTCTTTATTTTATTTTAATAACTAAAGAAGAATTACAATCCAAAACCATGGAACCTCCACGCCCAGATAGAAAATTGAAATATGGAACCTCGTGTGCCTATATAACTCGAGAAAAAATATACAAGGATTGAGTGTAAAACCAAAACTAGATAGAAAGTTGAAAACATGGAACCTCGTATATTCAGATAAAATAATCAGGCGAACGAACATAAAATCCTTGCCACCTATGCAATCCTCATAGTTCCTCCTTGGAGTAATAGAGGACCCATGAAGCCAATTACGAGTATAGATTGAATTATCAAAAGAAACTCTTTTAATCTTTTTGCATTTCATTATCGGAAAGTCAGTTATTTCTGTTGAAGACCACCCTAAACTTTTAAGAGCTCCAAATTCCGATCAGTCTTTCTTTTCTTACCATCCAAACCCATTTGATTCTCCTCATTCCACAAATTTCTCTTCCCGGAAAACACAACACAAGTAACTCAAAAAAATCAAGTCAAATGCTGCTGCTCTTCCACCTCGAGATCAGGTTCCATTTGGTCCAACTGAGCATACTTATGAAGCTTCTGATTAAACACCACCTGGGGGTCCTTCTCAATCAAAACCCCATTCTCATCATACGCATCCTTCAAGAACACTGCCCAATTCATCTCAGTTCCGGCCAAGTAAAATGCTCGTGGCTGCTTCCGCAGCATCTGATAAGTATGCTTAGTCAAACTAAACTCCTCCTTAAACTCCACAAGGTGATGAATGGACGCCCTCTTCTCCAACGTCAAGCTCAAGAACTCATGAATAACCCCAACCCTATACTTCTCCGCCTCCAACGTCCAAACATCAAACCTATGCCCATCCGAATAGGGAGATACCAAGGGAAGCGCGTTCAGTAAATCAAGCTTCCTATTATCATCCAATTCCAAATCCAAATCCTTCCCATACTTCACCGGAAATCTAAACTTCCGCTTAGCCGAATCCTCGTCAACAACGAACTCCCTCTCAAGCGCACTCACGGAGAGAAGTGGGTCCCACTTCACCAACTCGAGCACCCTCTTGCCGTCGCTGTCAACAGCGATTTTGAAAAGATCAGGGTATTTGGTGACCCTGTCGCGGAAATCGTCCGGGATGCCGAAGAGGGTTCTGCAGTGGTGAATTTTGCTAAGGGGGATGCGGTGGCGCGCGGACATCATGAGGAGTTTGCGAACCTTCTCGACGCGGTTCAGTTCCATTGCGTCCATGAGGGAGTGCTCCTCTGCGAGGAGTTCCTCCATGAGGTCGGTGAAGCCGAGCCAGGACTTGCCGTCGGTGTGGCGGTAGGTTTCGAAGAGGAGGGGGTGGCGCTGAATGAAGCGGGAGACCTTGCGGCCGCGTGGGAATCCGAGCTCGCGGTGGAGCTTGCCGGCGTCGTCGAGGCGGAGGACGTGCTCCGGCTGGGCGGAGAGGAACTGCTTGGAGCGCGTGACGAAGCGGAGCAGGGCGTCGCGGTGGAGAATGCGCTCGAGAGAGGGGATTAGGTTGGGCTGTGTCTGGACCGGGGTGGTTCGCGGGCTGGGTTTGGGCTTGCGTTTTTTCTTGAATTTTTTGGGGGTTTTGGTGACGAGAAAGGAGGTGGAGAATGGTGCTGTGGAGGAGAAGGAATTAGGGTTTAGGGTTTTGGAGGATTTGAAGGTTGAGAGGAAGGAGAAGAAGCGCCAAGCCATGAATTGAGACGAGAAGCATCGATCTTCAACGGTTTTATATACGTGGATGATGACGATCAACGGTGATTAGGTAATGAAAGAGTATGTGATCGAATTAAAAAAAAAGAAAAAATATTTCCGACCTGCCGGATTCGAACCAGCGACCTAAGGATATCTGCTACAAACTACAGTCCTCCGCTCTACCAACTGAGCTAAGGTCGGAGATGTTAAGAAGGTATAAACAATTATATTTATTCTAAATACTTTTAAAGACATTTTACTTAATACTTTCCATCCTACTTTATGTCTTATTTAATATTTGATAATTTTTACATTAATTACCATTTACAATTTTTTTCAATCTCAAGAATTATAATTTTATCTGATATTTTTCTAAATAAATATTCACTCTAATCTAAATTCTTCGATTATTATCAACAAATTAATTAAGTGGGAGAGAGATTTTTTTTTTAATGTCTACGAATTATGTAGGAAATCAACATTTAGAACATCTCTAGTTAACAAGAGATTTTTATTAACAAATAATATGATTTATTTAAAATTAAAAAGAGTTACTTAAGAAGTTTTCTTCAATTTTAAGGAATCTATATATGGTCTCATTAAAATAGTAATTTCATTGATAAAAAAACCTTTTTAAGAATTTCTGATTGAAGATTCTCTATTATATGTTGATAAGACATACAGTGTTAGATTTAATTATAAAAAAATGAATATTTGTTTGTTAAACAACGATTACTTCAGTAAAAAAGTTGTATTCATTCATAAATAACCATTATGTTTAATTTGAATAGTAAGTAAAAGTATGCTAAAATCTACCTATTTATTTATTTATATATTTGAAAATGTAATGAACTGTGAAGATAATTTATTGATCAATATAAAGGAAGATTGCGGAGATCTTAACCAAGTTAAAAGATTTAACATTATAAATTTTAGGAATTTTACTGTTTGTTATTCAATCGATTGATTTAGATACAGCATGATCTCCATGTTGGAAGCGAATTTGATTTCACGTTAGAAATATTGACATGATTTATAAAAGTATAGTTTCGCAGTAGACGTTAACGAACCTAAGAAATGAGAGCAGAGAAATAATTCTATACGAATATGGGGAATTAACCTCTGAGCATTTTATACACCACAGCAAACATAAATATAACTTATTCTATCATCATTCATCTTGCCAATCTTAAATCATCATGCGTATATCTGTAATCAGACATCACATGAAAAATGAAATCTACCAGTATAATTCTTCATCCACTCTGCTCTGCTCCTCGTTTGATAATTACAAGGCCCTATGTATATGCCTTACGGCTACATAGGAGTTGTGGTAGTATCACTGACGAGAATTCACTGTTTCCTCTATTGTTTTTTTTTTTTTTCTACTTTTCTTTTCTGTCCAAAATTTTCAATCCCCACTTTCTATGGCAGGGCATTATGATAATAAATGAACATTATGAAAATGAATACATGAATATTATGGTCTAATTTCCTCAGGAATTCAATGAATTAATTTGCCTGTTTCTTAAAGAAAGGTTTCTGACAAATCAGGAGTCTCTGATCGCTGTCGCTTTCAATTTCTACAACTCGCGCATCCCACTTTAGCGTTGTTGTTAGAGCTCTGGCTGACTTCACTAAATGAACTTTGTCACGAATTATAATCCAACCCTGCACACATCACCAATTCTCACCATATCAAATGGCCTAAAAATATATCAATCCATTCAAAGGAAAGTAGCTCTCTGGTGAGAGCCTCCAGCAAATTTAAAACTTCTCTATTTTACCTTTTAGTACCTATGAAGAATCCCTTTTAACTTTATACTTTCACAGGAATGAATAAATAAATAAAAATTACAGCTTTTACAAATGCATCTCAATTTGATGATCACATTAGAGTTACTAGCCTGACCCTAGTGGTTCTGAAATGGACATTGAATAAACTACACAACGAAGATGCATATCCTACATATGTTCAATATCAAGACAAGAGTAAAATTTTAAAACTAGTCTGTTGTTCAAACAAGGAAAGCCTTAACGAGGTTAAAAAAAGGTAGGGAAACTGAAAGCTACAAAAGTAAGGCCATAAATCACACAATATTAGGCTAAATGGTGGTAGATCTTCCACGAAATTAATATCCAGTATTTACTATCCTGTTAGTATTATATTGTATGCTCAAATCCAGGCCATTATGCTTTAACCAAATAGAGAAATACAATATATTACATTACTTCATGACAATAGAACTCAATAATCAAAGTGAAATCAGGAGACTCCTTCCTTTGTTAAGCGTTTAGCAAACATTTTGAAGAGGCTATCCTCACTTATGAGTGTTCGGCTTCACGTATGTTCATAGCTTATTTATACTTCATAACAACAGATGAAGTGAGTAGGAAAACAGAAAACTAAAAAGGGAAAGGACCATAAATGAAAAGTTAAATCCCAGACAGAGTGTATTTACATACCTCTGGCCGCAGTAACCTGTCAATTTCAATGAACATGTCAAGCATCGTACAGCTGCGCTGCTGAGCAAATTCAAGGGATAAAAGTCCTGCTGCATGCACCAAGTCATAGGTTCTAGGGTACGTAGGAAAAGCCTCACACCTAGAAACCACAGAAGATCAAAATTGTAAGAATATATATATAAGTGGCAATAACTGTTCAAAAGCTAGTGTTTTGACATGTATAAAAGGGTCATTTGAATAAAAAATAAAAAGATATATTGCATGAGTTTTAGCATGTGAAGAGGGGAAGAAGGAAACCAAAAAGCTGTTAAGAGTGATCTCATGGTGAATGATTATCTCCAAAGCTGTTAACCAAACCAAATAACGTAGTGTGATTCTTGTATTATAGGCATCTTACAGAATGAGATAAGGCTTTTGTTGTTGTATCACCATATTGTTTTTTGAGAAAAGTCAGACATTTGATTTACTTACTAATTCACATCAAACAAAACTAAAAACACCTAGAGAATATTCAAACCTAATTGCAAATGTTATATCTTCCCCACCCGAAAATAAAAGTTCTGATAAGCCAGTACAAGACATCAAGACTTGGAAGTTTATGTCAAAAGGAAAAAAATGAGTAACTGGAAGAAGTTAGTTTAGAGAGGTTGCTATGTGTGTCATAACTATTTTACTGGGCAGTTATTATATCTTAGACAGTTTTATGTGTTTTGGTGATATATGGCATTTTGAATGTATGTTTAAAAGAGAAAAGTCTAGTTATGGCTTAGGCCTGCGTTTTGCAGGTTTGTACCCTAATTCTGGTTCTATCAATCGTCATCAATAAAACTCTCATTTGTGCATGAAAAATCTCTTGACACTAACAAGTACACAAAACACAACCTAGTTCAAGGCCTTAATGGTTATATTTTACATAACGAAATCAGTAGTTCTATATTGGAAGGTATCAAGACCTTAAAACAAAATTGAAAACAAGAGGCAAGGACAAAAGTTTTTTAGCAGATGGCAGAGAATTTATACGCAGCGAAACAAAGAAAAGGGTAAGCAAAGAAACATGAAATTCTAAAATAAGAGAAAGGAGTTTAAAATACCAGTCATGCATAATGCCGACGTAACCTCGATCCTGGATCAAGGGTAGATAGTTCGGTCCACCCAAAGGTACCACATTCATTACCCATACGGATTTTCCAGCACGCAACAGTGCAGAATTAAAACCACCAAAATGAGCATTCATGTCTAGCACATTTCTTAGCATGTTATAAGGTGGCGGAGGATCCTCATCACCAGGTCTTTTTGGATGATCAGAAAATATTAAAGGTGACAGAAGAGACCAATAATTACGGACAGATGCTTTCCAGCTCTCGGAGTCCTCAGCAAACTCATCAGATTGCAACCCTAATGCAAGGAAATATATACATATTAAGATAACCTACGGGATAGCAGATTTCATTCAGTGATACAGAACAATGAAGTCCTTCTGTAATGTTAAGAAAATAAAAATTACCAAAGTTTTCAAGCTCCTTCCCGTTCAAGTGATCTCTGGAAGGCCAAGCTTTTCTCTTTTCAACAGAAATCCAACGGCTGCTATGTGTTCCTCCTATGCAGTTTTGCAGATCACGATAATAAGGAGACTCCACATCATAGCCGCTGCCACATAAAGGAGAGGGAGAACTATTCTTTCTGGAAATCCAAACACAGCACAAAATGCTAAGTATTAGGGATATTTATAAAACTTTATGCAGCATGCAAATGCATATTCACATAAAACAGATCCTGGTTACTAGAAATTTCTTACCAGGATATACAAAGTGTAATACATTTTATCAATACGTGTTACAGCAGTGATATACCTTGAACTATAGCAATCCCTTTTACTAGTTTTCTTCCATACGACAGTTGCATCTTGCTGTGACATCAAATCCCAGCAAAGATTTTCAGCAAAACTTTGTATGAACTTCCATCTATTCTGACTGTCTTTATCACGAGCATTTGTAAGAGGTGAAGTCCAGACAAAGTAGCCCCCGGGCCTTAAAAGTCTATCAGCTTCAATCATGAGAATGCCATCTACACCATGGAATATGAATGTTAATAAGATTAAGCAGAGTCCAGTATTCATTGAATTCACCTCAGTGATCACAAGGTACTATATCATTACTAAAATCAGAAAAATTAAGGCCAAGGTTTTAAAGATTAGAACTAAATTTTGAGATTTTTGAGTCTAAACTTTGAAAAGGGAATAATAATATGAAATAGAGGTAGTTTGATTGATGAAATTCATGCAGACACGTGAGGATACATCAGTAAGTTAACTCGAGGTTGTTGGAAAACTCAATGGCTAGGAAAATAAACATAGAAGGTATGGGCATATTTTGCAATTAGTAGGTATGCAGTTAGAGGATGGGAGTATTATTTTATAATAATTCTAGTCTAATGGATTCTGCGTAAACACTTCATGATACTCAAGAGAAAAAGCCAATTTTGAGTATAATTGATGTGGACATAAAGGCCCAAGCCCATAACGAGAAAGATCAAGACCAAGATCCAATCCAAGACTTAGGTGGACCTATGACAAGAGGCAGGCTCAGAAAAGCACAAGAGGCATTGCAACACAAAGTGACCAATTTACTAAAGGCCCAACTATTAAAAGCTCTAAACATGAAGGAGTCTAGCCCTATCACATGCATAAAATGTTTGAAGAGCTAGGAGGCCCAAATAGAAGATTTAGTTATTATTTTTATTATTATTTGCTACAGTGGGGATTTGAACTCAAGACCCAAAACTTATAATGTCTTCACTGAACCATCTGGGCAACTTAACTTTGCTTGGGATATTAGGATTTTAATTTATCTTTATTTTCTGCAATGAGACAAACTCATAAACTTAAGTTGTATTAAACATTTGGAAATTGAGAATGAAGGTACGTAATATTCAGAATCACTTTGTGAGTTGTTGCTCTGCTAGGGTTCTTCCTTGCATCACTTGATCTTATCAAGAATTATTCGATTCTTGTGGCGATCCTTCTTGGCTTATCAAATATTCTTATTTGTGGCGCCTACGGTATCCTTTATTTTTTTCTGTTTTCTATTTCCAATCAAATCAACTCTTAAAACCTAACCCTAAATTGTTTCCCTTCTATTCGAGTGTCGTCATTTGGTATCAGAGCCTGGTTGGTACTACAATTCTGTTTTATTCCTTGTGATTGCTACATTTGAAAGTGATTCTTGAACTATAGATTGTTTGATTCTTGTAAGAACAGTCAGAGAACGAGTGGAAAAAGGCAAGAGTGCATATTATACAAAAGCCAAATTGAGAGTAAACACGAGTGGTACATCTTTGAGTGCAAACACGTGAGAAGAGTAGTGAGGTCTTATTACTTCATTTGTTTGGTCCTTTCTCTTTTTTTACTTGAAAGATGACAGGTACAGGTGGTGGTGGTATCCCTCCTCTAGGGGATGACAATAGATTATTGATTGATGCCATTATAGCCCAAATGCAAAGAATATTAACAGAACATAATGTTTAGCTTGACTTTTGGAAGAAGAAAATCAATAAGCTACTTTGGGAAATTTCCTACAACAAAGAACCAAATATTTTTTTTTCCTCTAAATGTTCAGCATACACCCCCCACCCCCCAAATAATTATGCAGTTCCAAAGTAGAATTGCACAACAAAAAAGGAATGCGTGATGGGACTTTTAGGCAACTCATGGAATATTTTCAGTGCATAGCAACATAAATGGATAGAGTAATAATTTTAATCAAAATAGGAAAAACCTATGGGATTAGTTGGAAACGACCAAAAAGAACATAGTAGGCCAAACTACCACTATTCTTTTTCGTTCCCAAACAGTGATGTGGGCATAGGTGTGGGTAAAATCGACACCATAGGAAACAGCCAGTTAACATAAATCAACATATGAACTGTGTCCAAAATTTTAAAAAATAATTAATTAAAGCTAAGAATGAATACATTGAAATTAAAAAAATTACTTAGATTGAAATGGGGAAATCCATGTAGAAGCATATTTGTCAGATGTGGTATTGATTGGGACCATAAATGTTATATGGCTGTCAACAGTTAATATTTTATTTGGTTCCAAAGTGTTGATGGATGGTCTAAGCTCACTTGTCAAACAATGCAATACCACAAGAGACAACCAGCCCTCAATGTTCAATTCCTGAACATGTAAAAATCGGAAAAGTATAACTTGAAGAACCAGATTGAATAAGTAGTATAAGTCAATTTTGTTTTCTTATTTTCTGTTATCTAATTTCTCCTTCCACTGACAATCATAATCCAACATCTTCTTTGGAGTTGCCAAATAAATGCGTAGAATGACAGAAATACATGGAACTTATAGAAAGAAGTAGGAGCTAGGATTTCAAAGGTACCTTTTCGGTCCCAATCAATACCACATCTGGCACAATGCAACATGTCAAAGGAGAGAGATGGATATGGCAATTGTTTGGAATTGAAAGAAGCAACCATAGCAGGAAGACCCCTCTCAAGTGTAAGCTGAACTTGACTGCCAGAAGGCTCATAGTTTGCAATGCACATAGTTAAAAGCTGATTTTGAAATAGGTGTGCTCCAAAGCTACCGTAACCACAGTCAATATCCAGTATGGTTCGAACCTGTATATTTATAATCCCAACACGTTCAATCAAGGGAATACTATATTCAAACTTTAAGAACTAAGTTCACATTCACGACCACCATAACCTCTAAATGCAGGGTACAAAAATACTATGAATATAAATACACATCAAGTAGATGAGGATACGCTGCTTAGGCAAAGACTTCAAGAAATTTATTCCATAATCCCATGGAATGGCCCTTAAAGATAAACAATTGCATATTTGTAGTGTAAGATGAATGATAATAGAACAGTTCAGATATAAATAAGGTTAATACTTGAAGCAAAGGGAGAATATTTAGATTTTCATTCATTGTTTGAACAAAATACCTTCAAGATAATTAAGAATGATATCTATTTAAATATTAGTACTACGATTGCAGTAACAGTGAACTTAGGTCGATGCAGATAGCCACCCATTTATCAAAGTTAGTGGAATATGACTATAATTGATGAGAGACACCACAAAAAATGAAGTAACGCATCCTTAACTACACCATTCCCAATGGAGAATAGATATTCATTTACCCCTGCTTGAATGAAATTAGATTCATTTCTGAGCCCAATCATTTCTGCAATTTGATGTGAATAGTCTTCAACACCATCAAACATAAGAGAGGCTGAACGAAAGGAAATTTGCTCTTCATCAAGCATCATCATCCTGTAACAAAATAAAATACATAAAAACTTTAAGATTAAACAATAGCTAAAAGTATGAAAGCAAGTAGGAAAAACATAAATCACTCACTCACCTTTTTGTCAAGCTTCCAGAAGAAAGAACCTCTTGTGCAGTGAGTTTAACATTAGCAACCCAGATAATATCCTTTCCAGTAGGCCACCTAAGAGGAATTTTGTAATTTGGTGGTGAGAGTGATAAACAATTTTGCCTGAGCTCATGGCTGCATTGCCGGTCAAACTCATTGCCATCAGAAAAACCAAGAGCCAGATTGTCAGAAACATTAAAGCAAGGAACATAATTTTCAAACTCCTGAGAACAGAATTCCAATTCTTTCAGCCTTGAGGGAGCATAAGATATCTCCCCTATTTCCAACAGGTCCGATACAAGTTGCTCCTGGAGTCTCCTATAACCATGGAAAATGTGACCTCTTGACGCAGTTGAAATTGAGATTGTCCACCAAAAAGACCCCGCAAGAGCAAAAATAACTACAAACACTAAACTAAACTTCAAGAAAAGAAGAATCAACTTATGCCTATTTCTTGGAGTGCCAATAATGTAGGGATCAGATGATAAACCATTCTCACTGATACCTGATTTGGAATTAGAATTATCTGATAAAAGCAACCTATAGGGAGACCTCAAGGGTGAGGGGTAACCAGAGAAAACTCTTCTATCTACACCTTCCTTTTCTGTTTTATCTTTGGATTGAGAGTCCAACGTGTCATTGTTCCTTTCAGGAATCCGAATAGATACCCCTCTATGCAGAGGCCTGGACATTCTCTAACCAATAAGCTCGATGCTTAATGTGCAAATCCTCTATGAATACACCCAGAAACCAATAGCATCATTCGATGTGAGTAAAGAAAATCATTGAGTGAACCCCCTCCAGTCCAGCAAGCACAAACCTAACATTAAAAAGGAAAATGATGGTGTTCATTAAAATAGAACATCGAAGCAATCTAAAACACCAATCCAGCAAATAAACAATGCAAACTTCCTATTCAGAGAATAAAAAACATGGGAATAGGGGGAAAGGTAGACCGATAATAAATTCACAGCCCAGATCCATCACAGACCAAATATTGAAATGCATATGTACCAACAAAAGATTTAAATCATACAAAAAAAATAAAAAATAAAAATAAAAAGAAAGAGGAAAAACTTGAGTGGCTATTACAAGTATGAACTCGGAACGAACAAGATTCGAAGAAGTTAAAGTTGAAGTAGAGAAGAACATAGGTTGGTGGATAACACAACAGTTAAATCACTTGCAGCTACTTCCATCAACATTAGCTAGACTCTCATTAAAGCGCAAGCTCGTTTTTCTTTTTGAAAAGAAAAAATCACCGTCATTGCGTTACCTAATCGCAACCCAGAAGCAAATCACAAATAGTATATGGTAATTTTTCGTAAAAAGTTAAATAAATAAATAAATAAATCACCTTCGTTTACCATCCCAATCGAAACCCAGAAACGAGTCATACAAAAGCGGAAGCTCGCTTTATTATGAAAAAAGAAAAGGATAACCAAAACGAAAAAGAACAATTTGACGTACCCCAATTGAAATTGAGAAAGGAAAAACAAAATCCCATTTAGATCAATGCAGAGGAAGCAACACGAAAGATCCAAACATTGGGGAGAGGCGTCAGATCAAAGGCACTGGAAAGGAAGAGCTTTGGAAGGAGCAATGACGAGTACCTCCTCCATGTTTGGGGCACAAAAGCGAAGAAGAAGATGAAAATTAAGAATACCGAGAAATCAGGGTGAATTTTATGGGCACTCACGTTGTTTGGTGCACACCACTCACAGAAACAACACAACACCTCTCTCTTTATCTCTATCCCCTCTGGTTATACATTTTGCTTTGATTTCTCTCTGTAATGTATCTCTCTCTCTCTCTCTCACACACACACACACCCACTCGCAGCTTCCAACACTAACTCAGCTTGTGAAACAATACAAATACGAACGAAGCATAAGCAACCAGATTTTGTACTGATCCGATCGTGACTCGTGACACTACCCCCCAGGCCAAGCAATAATAAAAAAAATCCAGAAAAATAAAACTAATAAGAGTATTTAATAACCATGATTTAAAAACATGAGGTGTTAATATTAATTCTATAGGTAACTAAGACGAGCAGTAAATAAAGAATAGTGATGTAACTACGATAGATTAACCTGTATTAAATTATCTGCGGTGAACAGAAGAAAAAGTGGGGAAGTAGGAACCTACCTAAAAAGGACCCTAATTAATCTTCTACACCCAATGTTTCCCGCTAATCATGTCATGCCTTACTACAAAAATTGCACGCATCTTGTCGGAAATAGTAGCCTATTAATCCAAGCCCCACATGATCCCTTATGCCTCTTGTTAACATTAACCATCATTTTCAATGTATCTAATATGTTATTAAATAATATTTATGTTCAATATAATGAATTTTTTCTCGTTTAATAGTCATTTATGGGCGAAGTCCGTCATTGAAACCGTGTAATGTTTTAATTTTTGATGATAATAGTATGAGTTGGTCGGAGATAATCTATTTTGAGAGACGGTTATGGATTGGTAAGGTAAATTGACAGTTGATTGAAAATCAATAATATTATTAAATAGTACTTTAATATTTTGAAGAAAGTATAAAGAAAAAGAGAAAGGAGTGGAAAGTGGAGATTGGGAAGTTGGTGTAGGAAAGGGGAGCCAAATGGTAGATCTGTGTGAGAGAGAGGAAAAAGAAAAGGATTGTAATGTGCGTCTTGACTTGAGGAGGAAATGAGGGACACTGACCCACAACACAACACACCTTATTTTATGGGGTACCCGGGCTATCATCATTTCATAAATGCAACTCTTGGTGCGCATTCACGCTTGCATGAGCTCACGTCCCCTCCCCCTTCTCATTTATTTTTGCCTTTATCATTTTTTATTATTATTAATTTTACATTCTTAAATTCTATATTTTTTTAATTATATTTTTTATAGACATATTTCAATTTAAACACAAAATAATTCATTATAAATCTTAAAAAAATACATGTAAGAAGTGTTTATGAATAAAAGTATTTTATTATAAATTATACCAACATAAACATTTAAAATTAATCAAAAATATTTATAAAAATATTTTTTATAAAAAATAGTATTTTTAATTTTTTTAACAATTTTCAGATCTATAATCAAATAATATATTTTATTCTTAAAAACTTTTATTAAAATTATTTATATCTTAATTAGCTTCATTTATTATTAATAGAAATTTCATGTCATCTACTTAATTATCTTATACTTTATATGTTTATTTTGTCAGTGGTAAATTAAAATATTACGTAACATCTAAAATTAAACATTAAATTACATTCTTAAAATTTTTTATATATTTTTCTTTTACAAACATATTATAGGTGAACCACTTTTGTTGATAATTCATCTTATATTGAAATATAAGATGTCATGTTTTTTTTTTATTAGAACAAGGAGTTCATCATTACTCAGTTTATGATTTATACTAGAAAAATCTCATGTTAATTGGTTTTAATTAATTTCAAGTTAAAATATGATCTAAAATTTTAAAAATACATTAACAATTAAATACAAATTTGGAAATAAAAAGTGTAATATTAAAGTACACTAACTTTTTTTGTTGTTGTTATTTTTTATTATAATTCGTGATTAATTTTGTATAAATCTCACATCGATGTTATTAAACTAATATTAGAGATGCATATGTAAAAGTTTTTGACATCTCTTTTAACTTTAGTCAGATTTGTTTGTCGATGGAAATTATTACACCTTTAGGCCAATTCAACTTAATTGCCCACGTAGATCCAAAGCATTATCATCATAATATAGAGAGACAGATTTTCAAAGTATGACTACTCATCATTATCATTTCTGTAGACAAGGTGAAAAAAAGATAATGCTGGTTTTCTGCTTCTTCTTTTTTTGTTATTTATTCTTCTTTTGTTGATAATTGTTATTTCATGATAAGAAAAAATAAAACCTGTTGTTATTTATGATGCAAATGTATAATGTTGATATCAGAAATATCACCTAGAATTTTTCTTCATGTTTTTGTGTTGGGTTCTGTTTTTAAATGAAAAACATAAATATTCTTTCCATTTAAAAAAAAAATTAAAAGCATATACTCAATCCTCTCTTTTCTTTCATAATTCTTGTAGAATAAAATTTATAAAAAAAATATAAACCAAACACAAATATTCGTCATACGTAAGTAAATCTATCACAATTTGAAATTTTTATTAAAATTTTAGTTAACTATTAATATATATATATATATATATATATATATATATATATATATATATGTATCAGTAACATTTTTTAAGAAATAAAGAACAAATAAATGTTTTTTGTTTATAATTCGTTGTTTCCTCTGTAGAAAACATTTTTTCTATGTTGAGCAGTGGTTACTTAACAAAATAATAGTTTGTGCATGTGACTTGCCACGTAGATTTGGTTCAATGTCGTGTCGAATTGCATAAGGACAAATACAAACAAAAAACCAGAAGAACAGTGCGTTGGAAATGTTGGTTAACTTTCTTTGAAAGTTAAAGTTTGAAATTAACAATTTCTCTTTGATTTACTTTCCACTTATGCTTGTAATTTGCTCAGTAAGATTCTCACGCATGAATTAATATATACTAATATTATAGGTCGGTTAAACATGTAATAATAAGCAATTTATTTCTATATTATTATAATTGAAAATACGTAACTTTAAAAATAAAATAATAACTTTCTTTATTCAAACCCTTTTAATATTACGTTTAATACATAAAAAATACTTTAAATCTAAGTCTAAATGCCTAAGACATTTTTCTCTCTGTACACACATATAAAGAAACTTGTGAAAACAACTGTCCTCGAAAGGGGAAAAAATTGTACAAATAAGTTTCCAAAGGTAACAACATAGATTTCCCCCAAACATTATAATGTACAATTTAAGTATTTTATTAAAATATATTATTTTTTATATATGTGGAGTGATAGTTTTGGAATTATTTGTTTTACTAATATTATTCATTTTTTACAATAATATATTGTATTATTTTAATATTTTAGTTACATAATAAAATTTAAGTAATATAAATCATACTTTAAGTTTATTTTATAATTTTAAAATATACTTAAAATAAATAAAATCAATATAAATATAATATTATTACATAACAATTATTACCAAATAAAAATAATATAAAATAAATACAATTCTAAAAATATTTAAAACGCGATTGGCCTAGTTGAAATACATTAGAACTAAATTGTAAAATATAATCTCTGACAATTAATTATTGTTTAATTTAGGGAAATAAGATTTTCTTTTTCGTATGAGTAAAAAAAAGTACCAAAATATTTTTGGAATGTTATGATAATCTTAAAGTGATTTTATTTGACGTTGTTTACAAATGATTTATTGAGAAGTAAATTTACGTTCAAGAAATCCATCAATAAACTACGTAATAAATATGTTTTTATAAGGATTTTTTTGGTGATGAATGATGACCGACAAACATCACATGTGACGAAACGAAGGGTCAAATTTCCCAAAAAAATAAAAATAAAAAAGAAGAATATTAAATTCTTAAAAGTTGTAAAAAAAAAAAAAAATAGTAACCGGGTATGGTAAATTCTGTCACATGACATGAGCAGTTCACAGACACATAAAAGAACAAAAATCACGTGGAATTATTGCATGACACGTGTTATCATGAAAATTTCTATGTCCCTTAAACAAAACTATTAAATTATGTATAATACTGTTGAATTGGATAATGTCCATTAAAACATTTTGTATTAAAATGTTGCATGCATAACTGGAAAGTTCTTAATTTTAGAAAAATAAAATAATTTTACATGTTTGTTAGGAAATCTTTTTCTTTTCTTGGTCTCTCTTATAAATATACGATAAATATTAAGTGAAGAAAAACTCCTAAAATTTATAATTTAGGCCAAAAACAAGTGATTTAAAAGTACTAGAAAGAGTTGTCCATCTTTTCATGTATTCTTTATTATCTAAGCGTTAAATATTTGTATTCAAAATTTCATTATTTATGACAATAAAAACCAAATTTTATATATTAAATTTATTTTTTAAGATCGAATTCGATAGTTTATTCTTACCACAACTAAAGAATAATTCAAAAAGAAAATTTCAATAGAAAAATTAAATTCAGATATATAATTTTTTAATGTGACTTTTTTCTTTGTAACATAAATTTTAAAGGCACAAATTATTTTAACTTGATTTTTTTTCAATATAAAAAAACCTAAACTTTTCAATAGGTAAAATACATTAAATATTTTTATTTATATAAATAATTTATACAAAATAATCTATGATTTTTTAGTCTTTTTCCGTTATTTAATATATATATATATATATATATATATATATATATATATATATATATATATTAAGAAAGATAATAAATAAATTAATGAATAAATTTTCTTTTACTAAACTATTCTTATACTATTTTTTAGTAATATTCTCTTATTTAATTTATGGTTAAAATAATTTAAATTAATATAAACATTTATTTATGATAATAATAATAATAGATAACAACTTAAAAATTATTGGACTTGTATTTTTTTCTCATTATTAAAATAAGATTTAATTATATTTTTACTTTTAGAAATTTAGGTTGATTTTAATTTTTGGTCCTTCTATTTTAAAAATTTATTTTAGTCTCATAAAGTCGAGAAAATATCATATGAGTTGTTAAATATTAAATTTGAATGACTAAAATAAATTTTCAAGTAATTTTGAGTTGTTCAAATTTAGTATTTAGATATTAAAATGATATTTTACTAAAATTGAGATATTAAGATATTTAATTTATTAAAAATTGGAAATTTTTAATTTAAAATAAAAAAAATATAATCCAATTTAAAAATATTATGGAGTTAGAAGTTTTCAAAGTGGTCTGTATCTAACTTTTTTTGACGGTTAAACAAAATTGTGAGATATAGGTGAAGTTCGGTCCATTAATTTTTTTTAATAATTATTTTAGTAAATAAATATTTTAAAATATACAAAAACAATGAATAAATATTTAAAAAATAACTGAGCATTATCATTTATTATAAATATAATATAGAAGAATTTCAAATATTCCCTAGAAGAGAAGTGGTAGTACACTATGAAGTTGTTTGTGAGTGAGTGGCGTAAACGCGGAATTAAATATTGGTAGGTACTCACGGGACCCTTTAGCGTTCCTTCTTTCTCGCTTTTTTTTTTTCATTTTTTTTATACCTTTATTCTTTTTAAGATGATACTAATTAAAATAATATCCACTATGTTTAATTAAAATGACAATATATATATATATATATATATATATATTTTTTTAATATTATACTTTTAAAACAATAAAATAAGTTACGAGATAAAAAGGAAGTACTTTTTTCTGAAAATAAAATTAATCATCCATTGAATGTGATTAAGTTAAGTTATATTTTTAATATTATATAACTTTACTGAGATGAAAGAAATACAGGAACAGGGAGAAAAAAAAAAGCAAGAAATGCGTAAAATAAAGACAAATTCATCGAAATAAATAAATAAATGGAAAAAATAGAGATATTTTATTAGAAAAGTAAAAATAAAAATAATAATAAGAGGAGCAATAATGTTTATTTCCCTCCATCTTTCATATGTAGCAAACATATCATGTCGTACCAATATTTTACTTTTACAACCAAGTGCTAAATGTTATTAATAAAATTGAAATGTATTATATATATTTTAGGCTTTTAAAATAAAAAATAAACATATAAAAAGATAGTGTTAACAATTATATAATAAATTGTATGATATTAACATAAGTAAAATTTTCTTTTGTAATCATATATTTTGTCAAATAAAATATGATTGATGAATTTTTGTTAACACTAGTGCAGACTTGCATCATGAGATTACATTCCTTTCTATCTTTTTAATTTTATTAATGTTGTCATTAGTCACTTTCATTGTATTCCACATTTTTTGTATATGAGATACCTCAACTGAATCAAATCACACACAAAAGATAATTAATTTTCAGAAAACTAAACAATTTTTATTAAACGATATTAAATTAAAGCAAACCCTATTTGAGAATTATATGCAGCAATTGTATTATATGTGACATTGGCTGGCTCAGAACTTTCCTTTTAGATGTTCTTCGTTGTGAGTGTTCAGTGCTTCATCCTCGTCCATGTTTAATAATGGAACATACTGCACCATAACACGCCGTACTGCAGAACTCTGTGTCTTCTTCCCTACAATGTGATCTTCATACCATTCATTCTAATCCTTTTTGCATCCTCAATTATTGCTTACCCTCCAAACGCAACCATTGTGGGAGTATCAACCATGTTTTTATACTCCTTTTACTGTGATATAAAAAATATTACTTCTGATAAAAAAAAAACAAAAAAAAAAAACTCATCTTTCATATTTGGGGTTATAATATAAGCATTATTTTTATAATATCACATTTGATAAATTCCTGGACCCGAATAACTTGTTCTGAACATTTGATAAAAGCATACGTGTGACTGAAATTGGAATATGGTTTTCTTGACAGTTCTTAAAACCCCGTTACACATGCCCAATGTCACGATCTTGAGAATATAACAATAGAATAAGTTGATTAATAGTGAAGGAATCTAATTTTCTTTCTCCCACTGTTCTAAAACTACATTTTCTGTGTTACGAAAGACAGAAGAATGCAACATCACAATGACCCGCTGGTTCTGCGAGATAGTATACTATATAGATAGTCAACTATCCAGGTAATTAATTAGTTAGAGTTTGAAATTCAAACCTGGTGCATAATCATTGTCAGTCAACCCTCTAGAGATCTGCGATTAATAAATGCAGCTATAGAAAAATAAGACAAGTGGTCTTTTTAATATTATTTTTTCATTGTAATTTTTAGCCAAAATCTATTGATTAGCACTAGGCCATTTAATTGTTTCCAGAGGAACATTGATGTACCGGAGCAGAATCAATTTGCAATTGCGAAAATCTAGGTGGATCTTGATGATCCCTACCTAGTAATTTGACTTTAATGTGGGTGCTGAGTGGTAGTGGGTAAAGAATTCGTAGGATTATGAAATAGAGTTGGTTAGCATTTAAACATACTAAGGTAAAAAAAAATAAAAAAAATTCATGTGAGGTCGAGGTTTTTCTTCTTCAATAATGGTTTGACCATTGCCTATGAATACGATCTAGTTTTATGTAGATCTATGCCTCATCGGACAGTACGTTGTTCCTAGGTCGCATTATGTTACGTTGATTTAAGGTAACATGAGATTCTCATTAATACTTGATTTCCAATATATATATATATGAACGAAAGTTAAAGTTATATTATCAAACTTATTAACAAATAGAAAATAGAAAATGAAATTGGTTGATCAATCTTTGAACTAACTCTAAAAATAATATTTAAAAAAGTACAAATTTCGTATATATAAAAAAAAAACTCACCCTCAACTCAACTTTTAAACAAGATAATTTTATATATATATATATATATATATATATATATATATATATATATATATATATATATAAATGAATTATATTAAGTTTATTTAATGATAACATCTTTATATAATATTTAAAAAATATAAATAAACTGACATATAATAATTGATCATTTATGAAATAACAATCAATATAAATATTATAAATACATAAAAATAATTAACAATAAAATAAATAAAAATAATATCTTTAATAAATTTAAATTGATCAAACGAATTAATAGATACAATAGTTTTGAACAGATAGTTACATGAACAAATTTTTTTAGATATATAAGATTTTTATAATTTACACTTAGGTTGGGAAAGAGTAAAATTTAAAAAACTTGATAAAAAAAAAAACTTTAGTGGAAATATATTTAGTAAACCTAAATGGTGAATTGATATTATATTTTTAATATTCTGATTATTCAACCGTAATTAAACTATTTAATATTAGACCATAAAGCAATATTAAAGTGAGGTGTGTAGGACCATATACGAGGCATCGGCGTCCAACTTTGTTGCTTTCATCGATTCCATTCCATGTGTTGATAAGAGTGTCGGTTTACTCATAGTAGTCTGAATATTACAGGATATTGCAATTTAATAAATCACATTTCTAAAGTACTATAATTAATAATATTATACAAACTAAATTTAAAAGGCCTCCACTTAGTTTTATTCTTGTAATCTTTTTTAAAATTAAGAAATTACTAAATTTTAACTATAAAAAGTTTTAAATACACAAATAATAAATAAATAAAAAAAACTAAAAATGAACTCCAACAAACATCATAAATGACATGTGAAAAATTCCAACGTTTCAAATGACTCTAAATTAAAACGTACGTGTGTGAACTTTCTCAACGGTTGGAGATTTCAAATGTGTGAAACAAAAGTCTGGTTAAAGATGTATGTCTGCGTAGAACAGAACTTGCCCAACACGCTACTATGGAATTTTGTTGTCTTCATTAAATTCTGTTTTCCATTAGGAGGGTGCCTGGGTGTTATCTTTATCGATGGATACATGCATTCATGCAAGAACTTGCTGAATCATTAAGAGGATATTTAATCACGAACAATAGCAATAAAGGATAGGATATCTGCAATAAATGTTGTAGATCTGCACTTTCCATCGCAACCACTGCCCTATCTACTCTCACAAGCATCTTCTTGCACCTGTTTGCTATTTTTAACCTTTCAGCACCATAATTGGTTACAGTAGCAAGCAACTCCATATAATTCTTCTGCTTTTACCAAACATATTTGTTAACAGACAAGTAGTGATTAATTATTTGGAGACATAAGCTGAAAAGCATTATTTTCACGTATATAACTGTAAATTGAACTTGTGACTGCATCATGAGAAATTCAGCTATCTGTGAAGTGTTGTAAATAATTCTGATGAAACAGCTGGCAATAATGGATCTTAATTAAGAATAATCAGTCCATTAAACTCTTAATATAAATCCGATTGAATTAAAACCTTAAAAAATGTGTGGATGAGACAGATCGAAATGTATGAAGATGACAAAACTTATGTATGAAAATCTGGCCCAAGCAATGTTTGCCCTTGAGGAAGGGCAATTAAATACTTCTTTAAAAAGCTACACATATTGTGATATACGTAGCGTATGGTCCCTTGTGTTGAAAGTACTCACACACACTTCACATGGGGATAAAAAAACCCCTTTAATTATAGACCCTAAATACCGTGATCAAATGTTTCCCTTAAATCCATTTCTTGGAATATGATGTCTCATTCATCGAGCTAGTGCTGCTTTGCAAATGTATAGCAAGAGTTAATCATTGCAGAAGAAGCAACCAAGGCATGTCAGCTTAGTTTGGTACTGAGCAGCATCACGACCCCGCATTGCATGTGATACATTCACTTGATTTGATGCTTTTGTGGAAATTTTAATCTCCAAATACAACAACTAAAACAGTGGGCTCTAGATGGCAGTGCTTGGTGTGCTCGCCATAAGTATCGATGTTAATGTATGTCGTTATCACTTAACTAAATGCATGCAAGTTAAATCACGCACAGAATGAGTATGAATAAATAAATGTGGGTTCTCTCTGATGAAGGAATATGGATAAGTAGCGTTGAACTTGTCTAGTAGTATTGTGGTGTCTGAATCTTGAACAGTTTCCAACCTCCATTCGAAGTAGGACCCCAACATGAAATAAAACAAAAGGCAAAAACTTGATGCCTTGAATCTTGTTATACTCGCATTTATTGAAGAGTGCGTCTACCGCAAACATCTCTTCATCTATAGTCAGTCTCGTCTCATTTTCTTTCTATCTCTTCTTTTTCGTACTACTATTTTTCTTTTCTATACCCTTCTTTTAGTTTAAAATAATAATTTCTATTCTGAAGATTTAGTTTACTTTAAACTATTTATCAATTTACTAGCCACTAATTCTTCTACTTATCCGTCCATCACGACAACCATTACTATCCACTAATTAGTCTAATTATGCAACCATCGTTGTCAATCCTGCAACTTTAAAATGATAAATATAAAAGCCAGTTCTTGTATTAAAGTAGATGAACAAGCTCCTCAGGAAAAACAACCCATGGCCCAAAGAATAAAAAAATGAATTAGAATAATTCAAGAGAAAAAAAAATACTTGGGGTTGGGGTGAGAGAGGCTCGAACTCTCGACCTCAGGATTACTCAGATGCTATGAGACCTACGCGCTAGCCAACTGCGCCACCACCCCTTTACTGATTAGTAAATGTATTTAGTCAATATTAATTTTAAAACCCATTATTAAAGGTAAATGTAATTTTTTAATTTTTATGTTTGAAGTATTTTTGAATTCAGGTGTTCTCTCGTTCGTTTCCAGCTAAAATAAACACATTTCTATTAAAATTCTAATGAGTCTTTCTTCTAACACCCCCACAATTTTTTTCACTACCTCTATTTATTCCCCGAATGAACTTTGCGAAATTATGGGGTTCCATTTTAAGCCCAACCACAACATGAAATCTCTTTCTGTATTTGTTAAGAGGCCTTTTTCTTTGGTCCAAGCCTTTTAAATCCGATTCGTAACTCACAATTTAAATCGGCTCAACTTTATTCATTTCACATAAACGCAAATTTGGACCTCAATCACGGTAAGTCCTGTCAATTTAAATCGGCCAAGATTGTCAACTTCGGTGCTAAAGTTTGAATATCGAGCCAGCACATATGAGAAATTAAAAATACTTATATATCTAACGCTTAAGTTTTATTTAAGAAAAAGTTAATGATATTTTGAGAGATTAAAAAAACATTTTAATGATTTTTTTTACTTCTTTTGATTTTGGGGTTAGTTAAGAAGGACGATCGATACATTACATTAACATAGAAGGGACAGGGAACAGGAGCAAGTCTTACTGAGCCACGTGTGCTAATGAGCTGGTAAAGAGAAAATTGTCTATAATGGTTTCTAATTTTAATTTTAATTTCACGATCATATAAAATTGAAAAAGTTCAACTTTCCATTCCAACGCTGGAATCGATAATAGATGGGGACAGCAGAAGAAGAAAGAAAGAGAAAGATTGGAGAAATGTTAGGAAGAGAAGGGAAAGAGAAATAGAAAAATAAATGGGATATAAAAGAAAAAAAAAAACATTATAATAATTATCCATATATAAGATTAGCTTTTTTCGGATCTAGGTTGTATAATCTTTCTCTTCCCTCTGGGAGTAGAAGATTTGGTACAGTGTAAATATAATTCAAAAAGATTTAAAATGTTACTATAAAATAAAATAACACAATCGGTAGACCCAATGAAATAATGATGTCTTTGTAGTCGTCTGAAAGTAAAATGTGGTATGCTGAAATTATTTTTAAATTGTATACTTCGTACTATTTTTTCTCTCCTTTTATGTAAAGTTATCACCATGTCAATCCTTATGGCTCATTGTCATATCCATTACAAATTTCTACATTGGCACACACCTTTCTCAGCAGATACTTATAATATCAAAATATAGATCATACATATATATCGACAAAAAAAACTTTAATAATGTTTTTGTCAATTAACAGAAAAATGCACAAAACATCCAACCATATTAGTTGTTGGAAAAATAGGTTCAGAATTCTTGTAAGTATTGCTACAATAACTGCTTTCATCACTCCTTTAAATTCTGTTCACTTTTGATATGCTTTGAGTGAGATATTTGTCGAAGAGAGTCATGGAGAAGGCAAGTCCTGGGATAAAAAGTCATCAGAGACGACTTTGACAAGATTGTGAAAGGTCATTTTTTTTTTTTTATGTATATCTAAGTTTGTGACAAAATAGAGAAGGAATTTATTTGAATCCAATTGGGATTAGAAGAGTAGAATTGACTTTGGTGAAAGGGGGGAGAGATGGATTGCATGGCATTGAAGAGTTGAGTGAGCAAAAGAAGAAGCATCTTGTATGGATAGAAGAAATGAAAGAAGAAAAGATAAGAAAAGGAAGGTTTATATAAGGTGAAAGGTAGAGGAGTAGAAAGAAGTATATGCCTACACAGATTTTTGCAAGCTTAAATGGTGATTGATTGGTGGGTGTTGGTTGATGAAAGGCAGGTTGGGGGGTCACATATAATGTGTATGTTCCTAAAATAAAATCCATTGAGTTGAGTATAAAGGCAAGTAGATGGAAATACAGCTCATAGTTCTTGAGCACTGATATGACCCCATGTGGAGAGGACTGCCAGTTCACGGACTAACTTATTTTGCAGAGTTTTTAACATAAAACTAAAGGGTCCTTATAGCTGTCTCCTCGTCCCTAACGCTGCCAACAACTTAGATAATGACTCCTTTCTTTTCTCTCTATATGTGTCTATGTGTATGTGAATGTGTATGTGAGTGTGAGCGTGCACTTGTAAAAAGAAAAAAAAAGTCATGCACTGCATAATCATCAAAGCCAAGTTCTACAACAAGACCATGAGAGTGCCAAACATGTATTATCCAACTATAACTGTGGGAGAATCATCCTCGAAAAGTATTCTTAATTTAGTGCCGGGAGCAAGAGGGTTTGTGGCTCTCATTTCTCGTGGGGTTGTGGACAACATTAAAGGTGTACCATTATTGATAAAATATATGTATATGCGTGGCATGTTATGCTATGTTATGGCCGGTATTAGAGATTGTTACTGTCACCAATCACGATTGACAAGGGAATGATACGATGGTGATGGATACATATACACACATAACTCATAACAACACAACTTAATTTTGTTTTCATCGCAGCTGCTGAATGCTTTGCTTTCACATGATTTTCCTTTGGGCTTAGAACTGAAGTCTATCCTTTTTTTTTTCCTTCCCTATCAAACCTTAACTGTGACCGGTTCCTATTCGTTTTGGTTGATTTGCCGATAGTTTTTGACTTGCGGATTGAGGCACAGGAACATGGGATCATGTGGGATATGTTTGGTCCCAACATAAAAGGAAAATGGTGTGTTAGATTGCTGCAGCTGATAACCGTAGTACATTCTTATTACCATTATCAATATAATAGACAACTTGTACGGAAGAATAAATTGAAGAAATTCAATTCAAATTTAAATTTTAAATCATTTTTTCTTTTCTCATTTTTGTTTTTTTTTTCTTCATAATACACAACTTTTGGCTCCTGCAGTAACAAACCACTCGGAACGATGCAGATAGTAAAAAAAATTAGAAAAACAATACATGCATATGTACGAAATGGCCAATAGTAAGCACTGATAAAATGTTTGATTTGATGATATTATCATCATTCTAAAGCAAAGGGAAATGTTTTGTCAAGGCTGAAATAGTTTAAGAACAATTTTACATGCATACATACAAAGTTAAAAAAGAAAAAACTTTTATCAGCAAAACGAGTACCTTTGCCCTTCCAATCCATTATTTGCACAAGATCTTTAAAATGTAAAATCAGCCATTGAATTATGGCCAGAGGGTCCATATCTTCTTTTTTTAGTTAAAGGGTGAATTGAATAAGACCGTAGAGAAGGAATGGTTGTAAATTTTTTAAAGGAGACAGCAAAAACAAAGGACATTTGGTAAATGAGGTTGAGTTACAGAAAAAGCGAAGCGAAAAATCTAACAATGGAGAAGAAGAGAAGGAGAAGCATATTAAGAGTATTTAAGATAGGGAAAAGGGTAAAGGGAAAAGTGATAGGGTGGTAAGAATGAGTATATTAATGCAATTTGCACAGACAGTGAGGACACACTTGACACTGGTAGTGAGATAGTATATAGTAACACAAATCACTCGTCTTTCTTCCTTCTCTTCTTTTGCCAGCAAATTAGAGTTTGCACCTGTCAGATCTCTCTCACTCGCACACACACACACACACCCTTTTATTAAAAATAAATTTCTTTACTCTCCTTATATATTTTTGTTGCAATCAACCAACGCCTCTGTTCCAAACAACCATCAAATAATAACCATAATACATCATCATAAACCATGCCCACCTTCTTCTCTCACCCTCTTCAAATGCAATGATTCCTCTGCTGCCAAAACCAAAAGACTAGGGAAGGCACACATATATAGCACAGAGGAGAAAGATTTTATGGATTTTTGGCCTTGAGAAGAGAAGAAGAAAGAACTTAAATGAGTGAGACAGCGAGTCTTTATGCACAGACAAGGACACCCATTTCTTCTCTGGATGCCATGGCTCATCACCACCCGCATTATCGGTCACCCTTCGGAGACACAACCTTCACCAAACTGTTCGTGGGAGGACTGGCCTGGGAGACTCCCACCGAAGAAATGCGCAAATATTTCCAGCAGTTCGGGGACATTCTTGAAGCTGTCATAATCACTGACAAGAACACCGGAAAATCCAAAGGCTACGGATTCGTATGTGTTCACTTTCTCTTCATCTCTACACTTCACATACCTTCATTGCCACCAAGTTAATATTATTTCATATCTTTTATATCTATAAGTAACACTATCTATATAAGTGAATTAAACAACAGGTAACATTCTGCGATCAAGAATCAGCAAAGAGAGCTTGTGCTGATCCAAACCCAATAATAGATGGCAGAAGAGCAAATTGTAATATTGCTTCTCTGGGAAGGACTCGACCTTCACCACCTCGAGGTTAATTTACATCCTTTGTTATATTATCATTTCTCTTAACGTTTGAAACTGAAATATATGGTATGTAGTTTTCTTTTGGTATGTTTCATTTGATACATGTGCGTCTTTTGATATTTGACCATCCAAGTACTTTTTTAAAATACGTTGTCAACACTTTTAATAGAAGAAAATAAGAATGAAATCATCGTCATAATTTGATTTTCTGGTAAAGTACAAAAATTTATTCTGTGTCATTTGATTTGGCGTGGTTTTTTGGTGGGTGGTAATGCAGGGAGGAATATAGTTCAAGGTGGAGGAGGAACAGCACAGAGTGTTCAGGGAGCGGGACCGGCGCCGTCGCTGCCGCCAGCAGCTGCTGTTCTGTATCCACCATATGGGTGAGTTGAGTTAGCTTTGTTCATTTAGTGGAGGCATTAATAAATCATAATTTGATACCACTCCTAGTCAAAGAAACTGGTCCATGATGTTAATGGGGAAGTGCATGTAGGCGCACTACATCTTACTGTCTGCATATGTTGCTCACTGCTCCTCACCAGTTATAGAAGGCATCAGTGTCAGCCTACAAATCATATCGTAAATAAAGTACAAATGGAAAAAGGTTGCTCTGCCATCCACATCCACATAACGTGCATTATTGCTCCTTCTATTTTCCATAATCTCAACCCACTTCCTTAATGCTTAATCAACTGCAATTTTTTACCTCATTAATCAATAGCTTTTAATATTTTTCGCCTCATCTTTCTGTAAATCTTTATGCATCAGTATTTCTCTGTTTGTAACAATTTTAAATTTGTAAATGCCGTAAATTGAATAAAGATTACGGACGCTTTATTATATATATGTAGCATCATTGATATAGAGAGTTACAACTATGGTAATAGTAAAAATGCTAGTGTTAACAGCTACAGATCAGTAGCTATGTGACCCCTGATAGTGCATATACGTGTATATATTTCTCTGTGGTCCTTCAACAATTAATTTAATTTATGATCTTGTACAAGATAAAATCCCACAGCTCTCGGTACTTTTGCATGTTCTGGATCATTGAGTCATTTTCACACCAGCATGTACTCCTCAGGGCTCTAAAATACTATAAAAGTAAAAATTTAGCTTCATGTACAAAACTAGGCATGGAAAATTATATAAAAACGTATAGAGATGCAGACTTTTTCTAGTTGGTATGGTACTTTTGACTTGAAAATGTTAATCCTAACGTTAGATGCATTCTTTACACTGAAGCAAAAGCATTATAATGAAATATTTTGGTTCTGAATGAGTTATTCAATTTGATGAGTTGCATAGATAGTGAGAATGATTAAAGTTTAAATTCTTTAAAAGCAAGTGACTCATCAGCTTAACCTCAGTTTATCGAGTGATGACACTCATCAATGTTCATATTAATTACTGTATGCAAATATATTATCTTATTTGTATATTTTCATATTCATAGTCAGGTTAACTGAAAGAATGATACAAAAATAAAACTAACGAAACATTCATGAATAATAAATAATTGATCTTTTCATTATTGTTTTTTTTTTTCATGTGTTTATCTCTTGTAACATAATATTAACTTATGTGAGATACCTTCTTTCTTATACTTCTTTATATATTCCTTCCTTTTGTGCTTATTGGCCAACCAGTTATTCATCGTATGCACATCATGTATTAAAAGAAAGCATTCATTGAATTAGGTCATAGTAAATTTAAACTTGGGAACCATATGTACCAGACCTCAACATGTCAGCACAGAAACATTAATCAATCTCTCTTTCTTCCTCTCTTTATATACTTACTTATCAATGAGGGACCCACGACAATATACGACGTATACTGAAGTTACCCCAAAAACATTACATAATTCACAACTTCATGCCATTTTTTAATCATTACTTATTCTCAAAGGATGCAATTTACATATTTCCTTTCTTATTTTCACACTGATTAAATTCCTTTCAACTTTACTCTCTCTTGCAGCTATACAACCTACACTCCTGATTATGGGTACCACCACCAAGTATGTCTGTTTCTCTCTGGTTAACTAATTGGCAACATGCAGATTTTAATGATCATATCTGAATTTAGCAAGTATTAGTGGAGAACAGTTGGATAATGGTAACTCAATTAATGATTGTATGAAAACAGGCCACATTGTACAACCCACAGATTCAGCAAGCACAGTACTATCAACAGCAGCTATATGGAGCATCATCTTCCACCATGAGCACCCCATATTACTATGGTTACTCTGTGCAAGCACCAAGAAACACATTTTCTTCACCCCAAGCAAATCGCTTATCACCTGGACCATCTTATCTATACTATTCTAGCCCCGTGGAAGTCTCATTCTCTGCATATCGTCCACCCCAACAATCACCAATGAGGCAAACCTTTCCTTCTCCTAGTGGTAGGTTTAATTGATCCCTTATGCTCTTTATTTAGTTTAATTACCTTTCATCATTCAATCATTCTTTCTTCCAAAAACATATTTCATTCACACACGTACCACAGAGATGATGCGCGAGTGAGAGAGACAGAGGTGCACACACAGAGAGATATGAATTATGATGCACTTACTGACACACTATATATTATGATTTGGCTGCAATATATGGGCATGGGGGTCCACATGGGCAACCACAGAGCCATGTGACTGAGCTGTCTCGGTTGTGCCATGAATCAATGGGTCAATGTGGAAAGTCATGGCAGAGGGAGAGAGGGTCATCGTGTAAAGTAACAGTGGATACATGTGGTTTCATTGGCAAAAATAAAATGTGGTGGTTAATTCCTTTTATATAAAGTGGTTAATTCTTTTAAGCAGTCAAATCTTCTGTCATTCATGCATTGCCCCACATGCATGTTAGATAATATATATAACTTTTAATTTTGAATAAACAAGGCCATCACAGTTCAAAGCAAACACGAGCGTTTCTTTACCCCCTTTGTCAGTACAACTTCTGCTGGATCAACTTCTAATTTCTGTATTTTACAGAACTAAAAGAAACAACTATTTCATTCAATTGAAACGTCAAAATGCGATGGGCTAGTAGTACATCTTTTTGCACTTCGTTTTACAGATCTGGATCATTCTAATGATATGAAAGTGATGATTGAAAAGCATTTGGCTAGCTTCTCTGACATGCATGAGAAAATATGTACCAAGTTGCACTTGATGTTAAATTTAAATTAAGCAAGTTTACAGAACAAATATCTGATTTTTTTTTTTTACATCTCATTGTTTTAGAGAAGCTAGTACAATATGAAGTACTTTTTTTATCTACTAATAAAAAATTAGTTTTTCCATTTTACTCAACTTTCATTTCCCTTCAAAAGCTACTACATGTCTGTGGAAGATCCTGTCAAATGTGTCTTGACTGTGGAACATAAACATGTTTACAAGAGCCAATAATTGGCTTAATGGCATGTGAGATGGGAGTGACTTTCCTCAGAGACTAGTCGTGGTTTTATTTTCTTTGCTATTCTTTGCCTGTGTCTAAGATATTATATATTAGTAACAAAATAATTGTCAAAAACGGAACTGCTTATTATCATTTATGTATCTGCTTATATTATGTTTAATAATTGTTTATTAATTATATGGTTGATTTTGATCAGATTCACGGAGTCAGCAGCCTACCACCTCTGAAACAGCAGCCACTTCAGAAAGTTCAAATACCCAAGAGAAGAACTAATAAATATATATACCGACTAAGTTTCAACTGTTTAATCTTCAAGTTATTTTCATAACATTAATTCTTCATCTTTTCACATTATATATCCTAATAATTTTTTTAGTCCACAAGCTTTTGCTTTAGGAAATAATGGTTTAGCTGATTACTCGTGTTGTCCCTGTCGCATTTTCAAAAGATGGACTAATTAACTTCTTCATTCTCTCCTCTTTTGTTCAAGGATATTTTCACTTATATATTAAGTTCATAGCCTCACAAACATGTGGACGTACTAATTCAAAGTGTGAAAAGTGAAATTAGTGATCGAATCCTTGCCATCTACAAATTTATTACTAAGATTAACTGCTATCATGGTCTATGTTCAGTCTTGGTCAATAAACTATGATCTTTATGAACCCAACTACGATAGGTTATAATTGGATGAGAAATCTAACACGCATTTTAATTGATTATTGGATGTGATGTGGATTTCTCCATTTTCTTTACAGTATGTATAAATAAGGAAGTGTCATTGTAATAGTTATATATGAGTTATAGTTTCAAGAAAAATACTTGATCACTTTCTAACTTCTACACAACAGAGTGATGGTTTTACTACTGTTTTCCATTGAATTCATATGCATTTTTAGTTATCAATTATGAAATTTATGTTTTTCTTTTATAACATTTTTTTGTATCAACTTCTGTAACAAATAAAATTATAAAAGTTAGATACAGACCATGTTATAAAATTATGAAACAGAATCTGCCATTTACCATTTTTAATTGAGATGATGAATTTTCAAGAACACATCTCAGATATATAATTGACATTATTATTGTCGAAATACAATTAGTCAATTTTTTTTTAATATAGAATGAACTTATAATACCGTCTTTTTAAAATATAAAAATTATCATTTTGCTTTTGAGAAAATCTGATATGCGCAGTAATGTAAAGGATATTGTTTACCTAGATACAATCTTAAATTATTATACATAATAAATTTAATGATATTTTGCGATAATTATTATTTGAAATATAAATTTTCTTACTCCATTGAAACAAAAATTAAAATTTTATATTAATTAAATTCTTTAATGATGCAAAGTGGGAAAGATTTAATATGTTATAAAAAATTCTATTTTTCTCGTACATCATGAATTATGAGAAGTAGAAGATAAAATGGGTTCGATCTAATTATGTCGTCATCATTGATGGAATGAGGTCGGTCATTTAAAAAAATATTTGTATAATAAAATTAAAATTAAATATATTGTTATATTTTTTAAATATGTAAATATATTATAAGATTATAATCTAAATTATAAATACTAATTAATTAAGTTTAAATTATGTATTATAATTAATTATTTTAATATATAAATATAGTAATTTTTAATTTATTTAATAAAAATAATAATTAAAAAATAAAAATTTAAAAAATATTCATATGATTAATGTTTTTTTACCTAATAAAAAATTATATAAAAAAAGATATAGACAAACTGGTCTCATTAACTTTTCAATATATCATTTAATCGAGTTGAGTTTATAATTCATTCTTATTAGAGAGGAATGAGATGACTAAAACAATAAGAAAGAAAGAAGAGTATCGCGAGAAAGATGTTGAAATTAAATAATATTCACAATTTAAGTAATTCATACAATCTGTTATATAAAATATTACATAACATAATATTTATCATAGATATTGTAGTTAGTTAAGCTAATTAACCTAATTAAAACTAATTATTACATCATAAATGCTAAATTATCATCTAACACAACCTCCTAATTCAGCAATTGATTTTATATTCAATCTCTTTCTCAATTCTTCGAACCTTCGATTATTCAAAGACTTTGATATCATGAGGCACAACATCTCCACGCTTACTTCATTCTTTATCCTTGATTTCATGTTTCATTCTTCTTCATTATCAACCACTCCTATTTCATGGTTTTGATCCACTTGGGATCCTTAATTGCTTATTCAAAGCAAACAAATTTAGTCTTGTTATTAACATAAGAGATTAAATGTACTAGATGATTCTCATCATCCGTCTCTTCAATTATTTGTCCAGTTGTCGTAACAATATCATTATAATTGATCACATAATCATCAAATTTTGTTGATGTTTTAATCGATATTATAGATCGATTTCTCATTCCTTCGATTGTTGAAATCATTCAATTTTTGCCTTCTTTAACATCTGATATCGATCAATTTCTACTACCTTTGATTTTCGCTCTTAATCGACTTCCTTCTCCTTCAATTTCGAAAATCGATCGATTCTCACCTCCTTTGTTCACAACAATTGGTCGATCTTTGTCTTCAATTTCTGCAATACCTGAACCATCAAAACTAATACTTCGATTTTTTCACCATCGAGCTCTATTTCCAGTAGCAACAACACTTTTATTGACAATGATCTTCTTCTTGATAGGATCATACAACTTTTACGCACCAGTTGAATGATATCCTACCAAAATTAACTTTTTGCTTCTATCATCAAGTTTCTTCCTTCTCTTATTAGGAATATGTCTCCAAGCAATCGAGTCAAATATTCTCAAATGTTTTATATTTGGTTTTCTCCCTGATCATACTTACTATATTGTTTTCTCCTTCACTATCTTCGTTGGACATTAATCCAAGATGTATATAGTTGTTGATACTATTTCTCCCAAAAACAAATGTGGCAAACCTTTGATCTTTAACATACTTCTAACCTGTTTAAAATCGTTTGATTTATTCTTTTCGCAACTTCATTATGGTGTGTACGGGGTACAATCTTATACGTAATATATTTCTTCTTGCAAAATAATGCAAACTCACAATTGTTGTACTCACCACCACCGTCCGATCTCAACACTTTGATAACTCGACCACTTTGTTTCTCGATCACGATTAAAATCAATGAAGCAACTAAACACCTCTAACTTTTTCTCAAACTAGTACACTCACATCTTCTTACTATAGTCATCGATAAATGTCATAAAGTATTTGTTACCACCTAGTAAAGAAACATCGAAGGGTCCACACATCGGTATAAATAACTTTCAACACATCATTGCTTCTGGTCTCGATGCGTACCTTAAAGGGATTTTTGACTTGTTTCTATACCATGCAACCTTCACATATATTTTTACACTTTTGGACTTGAGGCAGTCAAATCATCATCTTCTTCTTTGTAAGTTGACTCAAACTATCAAAACCAAGATGACCACATTTCAAATGCCACAACCAATTGACATCAGAAACTGCTGTTGTAAAACACAAGGTATTCGATACTAGAATATTGACTCTAAATTTTGTTCTTGTGTAGAGATGCCTTCAAAATTAGTGTATCATTCTCATCAAGGATTCTCAATATTTGTTCCCTCGAACTCCAATCGATCAAATGTCCTTTTTGAAGAAGTTGACTGATACTCATAAAATTTTGCTTTATGGCTGGACTATAGAGCACATTCGAAATTATTGCAGATTTGTCATTTATTCTTCTAATCATTATTCTACATTTTTCTTCATAACTCACTATCAAATTATCTACAAATTTCACCTTTAATTTCATATTATCATTCAGATCAACGAACTAACTCTTTTGAAATGATATGTGATTCGAATAACCAGTATCTAAATACCAAGATTCACCGAAAGTCTCCATTGATTTAGTTATGGTCACCATTAACAATACTTTATCCTCTGAGTTTTGTTTTTGTGTAACATTTGCTTCTTCTTCTTTGCTCCAACAGTTAGCAACATAATAATCATACTTGTGACAGTTGTAACACTATACATTCTTCTTCCCAGCACCAGAATTAGAATGACTCCACTGTGAATTTATGTCTCTTCTACCTTTCAATTATGAAGAACTCTCTTGTTTTCTTTTTCTCGTCCACCATTGTTTCTACTTCTTCCTCGACCTCTTATTTTATTTTCTTTTATTCCCTTTATTCTTGTGGTTTTGTTTCGTTAACCACAGTTATTCTACGTTGGACTTCTCTTTCGCTCTCTTATATAACTATTATTTGTGAACCTCTAATGACCCCCTTGTAGTTCCTCTAATTTCAATAAATCGAAATTCTTAGACTTTTCAATGACAACAAAAATTATATCAAACCTGACATTGAGGATTATCAACACTTTCTCCATTATTGTTCTTTCTTTTAAACTTTCTCTACATGACTTCATCAAATTTGTGATCGACAATAATCTTGTTATGTGTTCTTTGATGGTTTCTTGTGTCTTCATTTGCAACAACTCATACTGAAACACAAGATTTCAAGTCTTATCACCTTCAACCTCTCCACAACTGTGTAATTATGTGTCAACATATCTCAGGTTTCTTTTGCCAAGTTTGCCAGTGATATATTCTCAAAATTGTTTTCATCAATACACTGATAAATATAGAACAAAACTTTGTAATCACATTTCTTTACCTCTTGAAACGTCACACGTTGTGATTCGTTGAGATTCTCTGATAACTTCTCATATACATTTAGAACTACGTCAAAGACTTCTTGAAACAAAAATTTGTCTTCATCTTCTTGAAACCAAAATCAGGTTCTTACTATTGAGCACTATCATGTGATCATATAACTCAATTTTTATCATTGTCATTCTTCATGTTCTTTTCGAATCTTGATATTCTTAATACCACTACTAGAAAAAATGAACGACTAGAACAATAATAAAGAGAGGGAGGAGAGTAACAAGAGAGAGAAACACTCAAAGTAAATTATATTTATAATATAAATTAGTTCATAAAATTAATACATAAAATATTATAGAAACATAATATTATAACATAATATTTATAACGAAATTAGTAATTAGTTAAACTAATTAATTTAACTTAAACTTATCATTTCATTATAAATATTAAATTATCTCTTACGGATTAATATATCTTATTTTAATTTAAACCAACCTAAATAAAATCTCCTCTTATCATCTAAAGAATTTATAGTAGATTTTTTTGTATTTTTTTGTATTATTATTATCTTTTAACAGATTTTTATAATAATAATAATAATAAATTTTAAAAATAAAATAAATAATAAAAATTTATTATAAATTTTAATTTTTAAAAATACACTTTTGATTTTTTTTTTTTTTTTTCACCTACCTACTTTTCTCGATGTTTTTTTTTTTACTGCATCTTCAACCAACCAATCAAAGTATGCAGAGTTGAACATACAGCAGATGATACCGAACTTATCCGCAAAGGTTCTTTTCGTTCCACTGCAATATTATTCTCCTGTCGATTGTCACTTCCAATTCTTTCATATATCTCAAGATCTATCAGAAACCACAGCGGTCTCAGAACAACAATGATTTCATGTATCCATGTAGTTTATTTTTTCTGTTTTTTTATGCACTATACATCACATCTTTGATTCTTCTTTTTTTTCCTTGTACCTTTTCACCAAACGTAAACCTAGCAACTGTGTATCTGCCTAACTTTAAATTCAATTATTGATCTTTGGTACATTCCAGTCAGAGATTAGCATGGCATTAAAAAAATAAAAAATAAAAAAAACGTATTCAAGTTCGTAATTTTTTCCCTCCCATTTTTGTGGACGTACCGGCGACCCATGAAAATTTTGCTGCTTTATTAGTAAAATGCTGTCCATAGTTGTGTTTGGTTTGATTAATATATATATTTTTTCAAAAGTACGTTGAAAAAATAAATTTTGTTCGGATAACACTAATAAAAAAATTAATTAATACTGATATTAAATAAATAGTGTTTTTGCTGCTTTTCTTCAAACTCATTTTTGGATGAAAACTTAATAAAAATATTCTTTCCAGAGATAATCATGAGTTTAGCGAACTAAAATGCAAGAACATGCATGGATCACATTTCAGAAGAGAACCTGATAGAATCTAAACATTATTATTTTGCAGCGAAACTGAAAGATAACTTAAACTTGACTATTGAAATTATTCACAACCCTAGATATATCATCTATTGACATTCACATTTCACATGGACAAGTTCATTAATAAAAAAGTACAAGGTTCAACCCGGTTCCATTAATTACAATTAATAGAACATATTCAATTTTTTTACTAAATCAAGTGGGATAGATATCAGGCTTTATTTTTTAATTTTATATTAACTGCGAGTCTAAATCTCATATTCAATAAAAATAAAAAAGTTAAAAAAAATAAAGACTCAATATTTTAAGGTTTTTTTTATTGAAGTGGATAACAACCCTTATTGAAAAGGGTGAGAATCCTATACATATATTACACTAAGAACACTAATGCCTTATTAGTATTATCTCGAAGTGGATTTTCCGCTGAAAAGATCAACAACATCTGCCAAAAATGGTTAACAAGATTTAAGTTGATTTCAAACTCTATACTAGTTTTAAGTTGATTTCAAATTTTCACCCAAAATAATTTGATGAACTATATTTTCATATTTCAGAAATGAAGAGTCATCTTTGTAAATGGTTGCACCTCCTGCCAAAGGTGCACCTGCACCTGGTGGCCTTCATTGGTGTCCCAGACACGCTCTATCTTCCTTCCAAAGGTTTGACCCAATTGTGTTCAAGTCCTCATCCGCGACATGATTCATGAGTAAAGTTAAGAGACCAATGCACAGGAGGAAAAAAAATGGACGAAAGTACTTCCAAAACATCATGCTCTAAAACTTCAAATGTGTTCAAAATGATTGCAGAAGCATGCTTAGCTCTCCCACACTCCTCTGCAAAACCTGCAGCATGCATAATGTCATGTGGGTCTCTGATTCTGAAGAAACTGGGGAAATCTCTCAACAAGATTTATTTGATGCCAGGTACCCAATTAATGGTGTCATCCAAATACAACTCATGTCTGCAAGCAAAGGAATGTGATGTATTGAGTGCATGTCAGTACTCACGGTATATTAAACAAATATTCACATGTTTGCTAAGAAATCGATTACTTGAGTTTCAATTTTAGATAAATTTTCCAGATGAACTTTAAACTAAAAATGTAAAAAATAAATCTTTTCACTTAATCAAAATCAATTCTAAAAATCCTCTTTTCAAACACATTAAATTGATATCAACATATCAAGTACATATATATCCTGAAGGAACAGAAATCAACATATAGCATATACCTTTGAGGGGTGCCAACCATTTTTATTGAGTTGACCATAGTGAAGGTAACGAATGAGCCGACAAGTTTTATAGTCCAAGAAAGGACATCATGGGAATGGGATGCCGAGTTGCCTGGCAGCAATAAGGTGAAACTCATGCAACCATCAGCAACTATATATATGTAAGTAATTGGAGGGACATGTTTGGAGTTGTTTAGTTTGGCAAGGAGGTTCCTAAATGGAACGAAGCATGGACTGGTTTCAAAGCGAAAGGAAGGAAGCCGTTGAGGGAATCTGGACCCCGGGATTGAGAAGACATTTAAGGTTAAACTGTCTGTTAACGACTGGAGAAGTTTGCTAGTTTGCTAGTTATGTAGCCTAGTTGGGCATGGAATACGCACTGCATGAGGTTCTGATATATTACTCAAAGAATTCATTTTCTGCTGATATGCTTCTGCTTGCTCAAATTTATAATTGATTCAATTAAGAGTGTTGTGGACTTGCGTTAGTTTTTACTTTTCTAGAAGGCAAGAAAAAATATTTGAACTGGGTACTTCTTGTTCTCTTATGTATGCATGGAGCTTGAAACAATGGATGCAGCTTACACTACAAAAAAATATGTTATTTATAACGGTTAAAATTGTAGATTTTAGAAGTTAAAAACCGCTACAAATAAAATTTGTAACAATTAATATAACTGTCATATTTATAGATGTCAAAAACGATTTGTAACATAATTTTTTTAAATGCTGGTATTTATGTTAAAAAAAAAAATTTCAACAGTTAAAAACCGCCATAAAATACATTATTATTCTCATTTTAATTTAACATTTTGTTGCAATTTGAAATTGTTACAAATGTTATTTTTATAATTAATTTTATATTTCAACAATTAAAAACCGCTACAAAATATATAATATTTTATAATTATTTAAAACTTATTGGAGGTTTAAAAAACCACCAAAAATTATTTAATTATTATTTTTTAATTATTTTATCAATAAATCAAAATTTTAATTATTATTTACAAATTATTTTTTAATAATTTTATAATTAATAATTAAAATTCTTTTTTATTTAGAATTACTTTAAAATACCACCATAAGTGTAATAATAATTTATTCATTATAATAAAATCAATAATCTAATGAAATGTATAATATATTTTTCATTTGTTTTAATGACATAAAATATTAGTTTGATTCTCACTAAAAAATAGTTAAATTTGTAGTTTTTAGATATAATTCACTTTGACAGAGTACTTAGCTAAATATAATTCAATATCAACTAAGATAAAATCAAATTTCATCCTAAAAGTCCAATAAAATTCATCACATTATTCATTAATAAAGTGTATCTAACAAAATACGATGTCAATAGATCCACAAATTTCATAACATATATGTCAAACTTAATGAAAATTACTATCTAATGAGTATCCTCCTATGATATTGACATATTTCATTCACTTGCTTCATCCTCGTGAAATAAAAATAATATCATCTTAATATAGTTAAAAATATATATAAAAGATATTAAACTCCATAGAAATAATTAACAACATAATTCTATTAACACAAAATATGAAATACTTACAAATAATGTCAAACTTTATGAAAATTACTATCTAAAGAAGATTCTCCTTGTGGTGTTGACATATCTTGTCCACTCTCTTCATCCTATAAAATAAAGATCATATCATCTAAGCATAATTAGAAATTATACATAAGATATTGAACTTTATACAGGTATTGAATAATATAATTTCATTTAAAACAAACTATAAAGTACTTACAACTATATTACTTGTACTACCAAACATGACACCCAACTCGGGAGGAATGTGTCCTTCTTTCATTTGGATGTATGCAAGCATGACACTTTTTAATGTTTTGACATTTTCTTCGAAGTTGCTAATTTTTCTCTTAAATGAATAACTTCCTCTTTCAATTGAGAATTTCCACTTGAATCGAATTTGAGAAATTGCACCTCGCACTCGCTAAATCTTGTGGTAGACCGAAATGCAACACTATGAAGACCTCCTAGTCCTAGACAACGTACACGCCCAGGATGATCCTTTCCCGAGCACTTTACTAACACAATCATTAGCTGAAATTTCGTAAAATTGACACTTTGACTCATTTCTTGTGTTATTTTCTCCTGTAAATAGAATAAATACAATTGTTTGATATTCATATTAATATTATACAAAGGAGGTTTTCAACAATAACATATTTTTCCAACAATTCATATATATGAGACAGAAACTTTCATTTACAGTTTTTTCTTTTTATTAATGATTTCTAAAAAAAAATGAAATACATTAATAAAAAGAAAAAACTGTAAATGAAATAGAAATTTATAAAATATATGATCCTAGAATAGTTTCCTAGACAAAATAGAAGTCAATTCACAAACAAAATTCAAGAATAAGTTTAATTGATGAAAGGAGATAAATATGTCTGAGGATCTGCTGGGTATAACGAGTAAAAGAGGGGATCATTTGTTTCTTGAAGAGTTCTTAAAAAAAAATGATATCGGATTTTGGAGTCATTGGAGATTTTATGATTTATGACTTGGGAGATTTTTCAGAGTAGAAAGGAATAACCACATGGAGTTCATGGATTTGTCCTAGATATCAATAGATCCATAAGTTATTTTTTATTCGAAACCGATTAGAAAACAAGGGAAAGTATACTATAAAATTCTCTATATATAGAGAGAAATGAATAGAGAGAAATGATAAAGGTCCGTCCCATCCCTGAAAATGTTCTATGAGGTGTTGGGAAATGGTTGAAGTAGTTGAATAGGAGGATCGCTATGACTATAGCTCTTGGTAAATTTACCAAAGATGAAAATGATTTATTTGATATTATGGATGACTGGTTGCGGAGAGACCGGTTCGTTTTTGTGGGTTGGTCCGGTCTATTACTCTTTCCTTGCGCCTATTTCGCCTTGGGGGGTTGGTTTACGGGTACGACCTTTGTGACTTCATGGTATACTCATGGATTGGCAAGTTCCTATTTAGAAGGCTGCAACTTCTTAACCGCTGCAGTTTCCACTCCTGCTAATAGTTTAGCACACTCTTTGTTGTTACTGTGGGGTCCTGAAGCACAGGGAGATTTTACCCGTTGGTGTCAGTTAGGTGGTCTATGGACTTTTGTTGCTCTGCACGGTGCTTTCGGATTAATAGGTTTCATGTTACGTCAATTTGAACTTGCTCGATCTGTTCAATTGCGACCGTATAATGCAATCGCATTCTCTGGTCCAATTGCTGTTTTTGTTTCTGTATTCCTTATTTATCCACTGGGTCAGTCTGGTTGGTTCTTTGCTCCTAGTTTTGGTGTAGCAGCTATATTTCGATTCATCCTATTTTTCCAAGGATTTCATAATTGGACATTAAATCCATTTCATATGATGGGAGTTGCTGGTGTATTGGGCGCTGCACTATTATGCGCTATTCATGGTGCCACCGTAGAAAATACTTTATTTGAAGATGGTGATGGCGCAAATACATTCCGTGCTTTTAACCCAACCCAAGCTGAAGAAACTTATTCAATGGTTACTGCTAATCGCTTTTGGTCCCAAATCTTTGGGGTTGCTTTTTCCAATAAACGTTGGTTACATTTCTTTATGTTATTTGTACCAGTAACTGGTTTATGGATGAGTGCTCTTGGGGTAGTCGGTTTGGCCCTGAACCTACGTGCCTATGACTTCGTTTCTCAAGAAATCCGCGCAGCGGAAGATCCTGAATTTGAGACTTTCTACACCAAAAATATTCTCTTAAACGAAGGTATTCGTGCGTGGATGGCAGCTCAAGATCAGCCTCATGAAAACCTTATATTCCCTGAGGAGGTTCTACCACGTGGAAACGCTCTTTAACGCAACTTTAGCTTTAACAGGTCGTGACCAGGAAACTACCGGTTTCGCTTGGTGGGCCGGGAATGCCCGACTTATCAATTTATCCGGTAAACTATTAGGGGCCCATGTAGCTCATGCTGGATTAATAGTATTCTGGGCCGGAGCAATGAACCTTTTTGAAGTGGCTCATTTCGTACCCGAGAAGCCCATGTATGAACAAGGTTTAATTTTGCTTCCCCATCTAGCTACTCTAGGTTGGGGGGTAGGTCCTGGGGGGGAAGTTATAGACACCTTTCCATACTTTGTGTCTGGAGTACTTCACTTAATTTCCTCTGCAGTATTGGGCTTTGGCGGTATTTATCATGCACTTCTGGGACCTGAGACTCTCGAAGAATCTTTTCCGTTCTTTGGTTATGTATGGAAAGATAGAAATAAAATGACTACAATTTTGGGTATTCACTTAATCTTGTTAGGTATAGGTTCTTTTCTTCTAGTATTCAAGGCTCTTTATTTTGGAGGTATATATGATACATGGGCTCCGGGGGGAGGAGATGTAAGAAAAATAACCAATTTTACCCTCAGTCCAAGTATTCTATTTGGATATTTATTAAAATCACCTTTTGGGGGCGAGGGGTGGATTGTTAGTGTGGACGATTTGGAAGATATAATTGGAGGGCATGTATGGTTGGGTTCCATTTGTATACTTGGTGGAATCTGGCATATCTTAACCAAACCCTTTGCATGGGCTCGGCGTGCACTTGTATGGTCTGGAGAAGCTTACTTATCTTATAGTTTAGGTGCTTTATCTGTTTTTGGTTTTATTGCTTGTTGCTTTGTCTGGTTTAATAATACCGCTTATCCTAGTGAGTTTTATGGGCCCACTGGTCCAGAAGCTTCTCAAGCTCAAGCATTTACTTTTCTAGTTAGAGACCAACGTCTTGGAGCTAATGTAGGATCTGCTCAAGGACCTACAGGTTTAGGTAAATATCTAATGCGTTCCCCGACTGGAGAAGTGATTTTTGGGGGAGAAACTATGCGTTTTTGGGATTTGCGTGCTCCTTGGTTAGAACCTCTAAGGGGCCCTAATGGTTTAGACTTGAGTAGACTGAAAAAAGATATACAGCCTTGGCAAGAACGTCGTTCTGCAGAATATATGACCCATGCTCCTTTAGGTTCCTTAAATTCCGTGGGTGGCGTAGCTACAGAGATTAATGCAGTCAATTATGTTTCTCCTAGAAGTTGGTTAGCTACTTCTCATTTTGTTCTAGGATTCTTTCTATTTGTAGGCCATTTATGGCACGCGGGAAGAGCTCGCGCAGCTGCCGCAGGATTTGAAAAAGGAATTGATCGCGATTTTGAACCTGTTCTTTTCATGAATCCTCTTAATTGAGACATGAGATCCAATGAAGTAGAAATTTGATTTTACTATAAATATTGGGTTGAGTTGAGCGAGTCGTATTACAAAAAGAATTTCTTTTCCTTTTTTCTTAGTTTCTATCAAATCTTTTTTTTCGGACTGGGCTATATCATCCCGAAAAAAAAAGATTCGATAGAAACTAAGAAAATAAACAAATCTATTCACCGAGAAAGAGGAGAGAGAGGGATTCGAACCCTCGATAGTTCTTTGTTTCAAACTATACCGGTTTTCAAGACCGGGGCTATCAACCACTCAGCCATCTCTCCAAAAGCTAATTTATATCTATTTTATCTTTATTCCACTGAATAGACCATGAACATATGAATTGATGCCCTTTCTATTCTCTATCCATAGGAAACATATTCAATATGAATCTATTTTTTTAGTTTTCTATCGGTATGTATATACGTGCAAAATCCAGCATGCCTTTTTGTGAAGTAAAAAAAAACGATCCTCGATCCAAGCCTCAAAAGAGTTGATAAAAAATCATAAAAAATCAATGAATTCATGATAAAACCTTTCTGCGTTTTTACAAATTTTTTTTGTCAATAAAGGGATCAAAGGGTTGGGGGATCAAATGGTAAAGTTCTTTTGTTGGTAAATTGGAGGATTAGAAACATGACTATTGCTTTCCAATTAGCTGTTTTTGCATTAATTGCTATTTCATTTCTTTTATTGATTAGTGTACCTGTTGTATTTGCTTCTCCTGAAGGTTGGTCAAATAAAAAAAATGTTCTATTTTCCGGTACATCATTATGGATTGGATTAGTGTTTCTAGTGGGTATTCTTAATTCTCTCATTTCTTGACGTTCTTTTTATTCTAGATTAAAAACGAAATGATCCCTCCCTCATAATTCTTTCGGATTGTCAAGCATATAAAAAAGGGAATGGGTCAGTTCCTAAAAAAAAACTATAACACATTACATTAGAAGGGGCGAGTTCTTCTATTGGAAAAATCTTATATCTTATACTTATATGGTGGTACATTGTGAAACTAAAAGAGATAAAATAGAAAAAATGAAATATAAAAATTTGAATTTCATTTGAATATTCTATTCATATTCATTTGAATAGAATATTCAAATGAAATACTATAAATCTATTTATACGTCGTCTAGTAATTAATATAAAAAATATAGAATATCTATCTGTATATCTATATAGATAGATTTCATTTTTTATTAATTTTTATTTACTTTTTTCTTAAAAAAGTAAATAAAAATATTCGATAGAATAAGAATTTCAATTCAATTATATAGATACATAGAAAAAAATAATATATAATAATATAAATAGGAATTATTGATAAAAATAAATAGTAATCTAAAATCATTTATTTGGAAGACAATATCTATTATATACATTTCTTTTGAATTATCCCTAATAGAATATCAGACCCATCTCTGTACAACTAGAATCGCATATCAAGTACAAAGAAAATGCGGATGCGGATATAGTCGAATGGTAAAATTTCTCTTTGCCAAGGAGAAGACGCGGGTTCGATTCCCGCTATCCGCCCAATGTATTGAATACTCATAATATGAAAAATGCTATAGAATTGACTGTGTATAATGCCCCTCTTGAACCCTTGTTTTTATCAAATTCAAAATGTTGCGGAGACGGGATTTGAACCCGTAACCTCAAGGTTATGAGCCTTGCGAGCTACCAAGTTGCTCTACTCCGCGATAAAGAAAAGAATTCATAACTAATGAACAAAAACAAAGATTTAAAGCGTCCCTTTACCATATCTATACAAATAGAATAAACCTTTTATACATAACGGTAAAGGGACCCTCCTATGATCGCTGATAATAAAATGAAAAAAAAATGAAGATAATTTTGGAATCCTTACCAACTGGATCTTGTTGCACCGGGCAAGAAACATGCATGAACCATTTCCCGAAGTATGTGTCCAGATAATCCAAAGTCTCGATAATTAGCTCTCGATCTTCCGGTCGAAAAACAACGTCGATGAAGACGTATAGGTGCACTATTACGCGGTAGTGATTCTAATTTTCCATGAATTTCCCATTTATCACTTAACGACGGAACTTTGCTTATTTCTTTTTTTGAGGATCGACGAATCAAATGATATTTCTGTTCCAATTTTTGTCTCTTCTTCTCCCTCTGAATCACACTTTTCCTTGCCATAATGGTTCATTTCCTATTAGTATCAATGATAGAAATCGGATCTGAGATGTATAAATGGCTTATCTTCCCTATAGAAGGAAATGATATTCTTGCCATATATATATAATAATAAAGAATTAAAAATAAAGAATTAACCGAATTTGCCCGATGTAGAGGCAATTAAGAAGGCTGCATAAGTAAATATATAACCTACGGAAAAGTGGGCTAGTCCAACCAATCTTGCTTGCACAATGGAAAGAGCCACTGGTTTATCTCTCCATCGAATCAAATTAGCCAAAGGTGTACGTTCATGAGCCCATGCTAAAGTTTCAATCAATTCCTGCCAATATCCGCGCCAGGAAATTAAGAACATAAATCCAGTAGCCCAAACAAGATGTCCAAACAAGAACATCCATGCCCAGACTGATAAACTATTCATACCAAAAGGGTTATATCCATTGATAAGTTGTGAAGAGTTCAACCATAGATAATCTCTTAACCATCCCATCAAATAAGTAGAAGATTCATTAAACTGTGAAAGATTACCCTGCCATAGTGTAATGTGTTTCCAATGCCAATAAAAAGTAACCCATCCAATGGTATTTAACATCCAGAAAACTGCCAAATAAAATGCGTCCCAAGCGGAAATATCACAAGTTCCACCTCGTCCCGGGCCATCACAAGGAAAACTATAACCAAAATCTTTTTTATCAGGCATTAACTTAGAACCACGCGCATCCAAAGCACCTTTGACTAAGATCAATGTAGTTGTATGTAAACCAAGAGCAATAGCATGATGAACCAAGAAGTCTCCGGGCCCTATTGTTAAGAATAGAGAATTACTATTTTCATTTACAGCGTTTAACCAACCAGGCAACCATATGCTTCGTCCCGCATTGAACGCCGGACTGTTGGTTGAAGATAAAAGTATATCGAACCCATAGGAAGTTTTACCATGAGCAGATTGTATCCATTGGGCAAATATAGGTTCAATCAAGATTTGTTTCTCCGGAGTACCAAAAGCAAGCATGACATCGTTATGGACATAAAGTCCCAGAGTATGGAACCCCAGAAAGAGGCTAGCCCAACTTAAGTGGGAAATGATAGCTTCTTTATGGTCTAACATTCTTGCCAAGACATTATCTTGATTCTGCTCTGGATTATAATCTCTAATAAAAAAGATAGCTCCATGAGCAAAAGCCCCTGTCATAATGAAGCCTGCTATATATTGATGATGAGTATATAACGCAGCTTGAGTAGTAAAATCTTGTGCTATAAACGCATAAGCGGGTAAAGAGTACATGTGTTGTGCTACCAAAGAAGTAATAACCCCTAAAGAGGCTAGAGCAAGACCTAATTGAAAATGAATTGAATTATTGATTGTGTCATAAAGACCCTTATGTCCACGCCCCAATCTACCCCCCGGAGGAGTATGTGCTTCTAAAAGATCTTTTATACTGTGACCAATCCCGAAGTTAGTTCTATACATATGGCCAGCAACTAGAAAAAGAAATGCAATAGCCAAATGATGGTGTGCAATATCAGTCAACCATAAACTTTGAGTTTGTGGATGAAATCCCCCGAGAAGTGTTAGAATAGCAGTTCCTGCTCCTTGAGGGGTACCAAAGATATGATTATTGGAATCGGGATTTTGAGCATAAAGATTCCACTGACCTGTAAAAAATGGACCTAATCCTTCTGGGTGCGGCAATATACCTAATAAATTATTCCATCGAACGTATTCCCCCCTGGACCCCGGAATAGCGACATGGACTAAATGCCCTGTCCAAGCCAAGGAACTTACTCCGAATAGTCCTGACAAATGATGATTGAGGCGGGATTCGGCATTTTTAAACCACGAAACACTTGGTTTCCATTTTGGTTGCAGGTGTAACCAACCCGCTATTAAAGATATAGTAGAAAGAATCAATAGAAAAATAGCTCCAGTATAAAGATCCCCATTAGTACGTAAACCGATTGTATACCACCACTGATAAACACCAGAATAGGCTATATTAACAGGGCCTAGAGCACCTCCTCGGGTAAAAGCTTCTACAGCAGGTTGACCAAAATGAGGATCCCAAATTGCATGAGCAATAGGTCTTACATGTAAAGGATCCTGTACCCATGTCTCAAAATTCCCTTGCCAAGCTACATGAAACAGATTCCCGGAAGTCCACAGAAAAATTATTGCTAATTGCCCGAAATGAGAAGCAAAAATATTCTGATAAAGACGTTCCTCAGTAATATTATCATGACTTTCGAAGTCATGTGCGGTAGCAATACCAAACCAAATACGACGAGTAGTGGGGTCTTGAGCTAAGCCTTGACTAAAGCTTGGAAATCTTAATGCCATAATGATTTTCAAATCCTCCTAGCTATTATCCTACTGCAATAATTCTTGCTAAGAAGAATGCCCATGTTGTGGCAATTCCACCTAGAAGGTAATGTGTTACTCCTACAGCACGTCCTTGTACAATGCTCAAGGCTCTGGGCTGAGTAGCAGGAGCAACTTTTAATTTATTATGAGCCCAAACAATGGATTCAATAAGTTCTTGCCAATAACCACGCCCGCTGAATAGAAACATTAAACTAAAAGCCCATATAAAATGTGCACCCAAGAAAAAAAGACCATATGCAGATAATGAAGAACCATAAGACTGAATTACCTGGGATGCCTGCGCCCATAAGAAATCACGGAGCCATCCATTAATGGTAATGGAACTCTGCGCAAAATTTCCTCCTGTGATATGAGTTACGATCCCTTGATCACTTATACTACCCCAAACATCTGACTGCATTTTCCAACTGAAATGAAATATTACTACTGAAATTGAATTGTACATCCAAAATAGTCCTAAGAAGACATGATCCCAAGCGGATACTTGGCATGTCCCCCCTCTTCCAGGTCCATCACAAGGGAAACGAAAACCTAGATTTGCTTTATCCGGTATCAATCGTGAACTACGAGCAAATAGAACACCCTTTAAGAGTATTAATACTGTTACATGAATTGTAAATGCATGAATATGATGGACCAAAAAATCCGCAGTTCCTAATGGAATAGGTAACAAAGCAACTTTACCGCCCACTGCTACTAAATTTTCACCCCCCCAAGTCAAACTGGTACTTGTTGCTGCACCAGGGGCTGTTGTGCCAGGTGCTAAAGCGTGGGTATTTTGTATCCATTGAGCAAAGATCGGCTGTAATTGTATAGCAGTATCTGAAAACATATCTTGAGGGCGCCCTAAAGCGCTCATGGTATCATTATGAATATACAAACCAAAACTGTGAAACCCTAAAAATATACATACCCAGTTAAGATGTGATATGATTGCATCACGATGTCTAAGGACACGATCTAATAGATCGTTGTATCGAATAGTCGGATCATAATCTCTTACCATAAAAATAGCTGCATGTGCAGCAGCACCGACTATGAGAAATCCACCAATCCACATGTGATGTGTAAACAATGACAGTTGTGTACCATAGTCAGTAGCTAGGTATGGATAAGGAGGCATAGAATACATATGGTGAGCTACAACAATGGTCAAAGAGCCTAACATAGCTAGATTAATAGATAATTGAGCATGCCATGACGTTGTTAGGATCTCATATAGACCTTTATGACCCTGGCCTGTAAATGGACCTTTATGTGCCTCTAAAATATCTTTGATACTGTGACCAATACCCCAGTTGGTCCTATACATGTGACCCGCTATCAAGAAAATAATTGCAATAGCTAAATGATGGTGTATAATATCGGTCAGCCATAGACCTCCAGTTACCGGATCTAATCCTCCACGAAAAGTTAGAAATTCTCCATATTTTGACCAATTCAAGGTAAAAAATGGGGTTGCTCCCGCGGCAAAACTCGGATAAAGTTGAGCCAAAAGATCCCGATTTAGGATAAATTCATGAGGAAGTGGTATCTCCTTGGGATCTACTGCAGCATTTAGAAATTGGTTAATTGGTAAAGATACATGTATTTGATGTCCTGCCCAAGAAAGAGAACCCAACCCTAGGAGCCCTGTCAAATGGTGATTCAACATAGATTCTACATCTTGGAACCAAGCCAATTTTGGAGCAGCTTTGTGATAATGAAACCAACCAGCAAAAAGCATTAAGGCTGCAAAGACCAATGCACCAATTGCAGTACAATAGAGTTGTAATTCATTAGTTATTCCAGATGCTCTCCAAATTTGAAAAAAACCAGAGGTTATTTGTATTCCTCGGAACCCTCCCCCTACATCCCCATTCAATATTTCTTGACCCACTATTGGCCAAACCACCTGAGCACTAGGCCTAATGTGAGTAGGATCACTTAACCATGCCTCATAATTGGAAAAACGAGCACCATGAAAATACATGCCACTCAGCCAAAGAAAGATCATAGAGAGTTGGCCGAAATGGGCACTAAAAACTTTTCGGGAAATCTCCTCTAAATCATTAGTATGGCTATCAAAATCATGAGCGTCAGCATGTAGGTTCCAGATCCAAGTAGTAGTATCAGGTCCCTTAGCTATTGTTCTTGAGAAATGACCAGGTTTTCCCCATTCCTCAAAAGAAGTTTTTATAGGATCCCTATCTACCAAAATTTTAACTTCTGGTTCCGGTGAACGAATAATCATTGAGTCCTCCTCTTTCCGGACAACACATACAAAGAGACCTGCCAACATAAAACAGAATTAGTGAACTTTTTAGAGATGTTTCTATTGAGTTTTGTTCTCTTCTATCTCTCATGTATTTTATATCTTAGTTAATTTCATTTCTTTAGTTTTTCACTAGAACAATTATGATATCGAAGTCAATTCGGGGCAAGTGTTCGAATCTATTATGACATAACAGTGGGGCGCTCAACGGACCTTTTTTAATATTCTAAGACCTTTTTTCGAACTCTGAATAGAAGTTAAATAATTTTTCGTGCAGCCTAATCAAATGTATTCAGATTTTACTCAGAAGTTCCTAGATGGAATTCATTTTATTTCTTTTTTTTGAATGAAGGTCTCTTTTATTTTATTAATTTGATTGAATATTTGTTTGAATAACAGAAAAAAGGAGAAAATTCCCTACTGTATCCACATATCGTTTATCTATATGAAATACTAGACAAAATCGAATAAATTGATAGAAGGAATATATTGAAATTCTGTGATTGGTCGTTCCTATAGAAATGATTTTTTAATTGGATTGATAGGGACAACAAACAAGAATTTATAACAATAGATATTTATCTATCTATATATAGATAGATATAGATAGATAAAAAATATAAGAAAAAATAATAAATAAACAGAGTGTTCTTATTCAAAACGCCCTGTGATCTTCAACCAATTCTGTGCTGCAATATAATTACCGGGGGTAAGGGCTATAGCTTGTTTCCAGTATTCAGCGGCTTGATTAAACCAAGACTCCGCAACTTCTGAGTCTCCCTGTCGAATGGCCTGTTCTCCTCGGTCGGAATAGGTGAGTCAATTCCTTTCCTTAGAACCGTACTTGAGAATTTCCTTACTCATACGGCTCAACAGTCAATTCTTTTTTTGTTCTATTATCTTGAAGTTAACTAAAAGAAAAAAAAGAAATTATTAACATGAGTTTCAAACTTGAATTTTTACTAATATAATAAATAAATAATTTCAAAGAATTTCATCTTTTTTTTTAGTTTTATCTTTTATCCTACCTTCAGAAAAGGGAATAAAGCATCGGCATTAATGCCCTCATTATAATTCTAATTTTATGAAAGGTAACTATCTCGATTTTATATATCATATAGAAAAATATATGATATATTCTTTTTTATAGAATCTTGGAAAAAGTGTTTTCTTTCTTATCTTAAAAGAGAAAATACTTCCTATCTTTGGGATTTGATACTACACCGCTGCTCAAAATATCAGGGGATCCACTTTATTACATAAGTGGATTCCTGACTTCTTTATCATGAGATAAGTAAGCAGTTTTTATTATATCGACTCAAAGTTGTGTTAATTGATCCTTACGATGCTTCTTTTATCAATTAGATATTTTATCCATAGAAAAAGAGGGTATCTAGACAGTTTGATTTCTTCATATTTTGACTTCTATGAAATTTCTTTCTTTGCTACAGCTGATAAAAATCGTTGTTTTGGACGATATATGTATATGTAGAAAGCCTTTTTTAATATTAATAGTACTTTTTTTATTTATTATTATTATTATTTGTGGATTTGCTTGTTCTTTTCTTTTTTCTTTCTATAGTGGAGATAGTCGCACGTAATGACAGATCACGGCCATATTATTCAAAGCTTGGGGTAAGAATGGGTTTCGTTCGAGCGCTCGAAAATAATATTCCAAAGCTTTAGTATGTTCTCCGTTACTTGTGTGAATAAGGCCTATGTTATAAAGTATATAACTTCGATCATAGGGATCTATTTCCAGTCGCATAGCCTCATAATAATTCTGTAAAGCTTCTGCATAATTTCCTTCAGATTGAGCTGACATCCGTTACGGTCGTTATTCGGTTCAAAGAATCTCCGCTCCAGAACTGTACGTGAGATTTTCATCTCATACGGCTCCCCCCTTATGTGTGTAATGAGAAAAATACATAAAATCAAAAAAGATTCCAGTATTCTCATTATCAACTGAACAGAGCTAGTGTTTTTACAAGAAATCTCTAGCCAACCTTCCTGTCAAAAATTCTTTCTTAACATAACATTAAGTATGTAGGTATTTGATAAAAAAAACAATAACTTCAACAATTTCTTTGTCCTCAACGCTGCTTAATTTCCTGGAATTAGTCACCTCAATAATCTTCGACGGTTCTATGGGTATCCAAAAAATGAACGAGATGGATATTTATTGTCCCAACCATTCCCGTTAGTCCCTATCTCGATAAGCCATGGATACAGATATATACAAAGTTTTCGTGTCCTTGATTCCTAAGCGTAGTGCTTCTTTCCTAATGTTGCCTATCAGTACTAGTAAGTTAGGGTTGACCTAACCCCATAAGTATAGGTATAACCTTTCGCTTAATACTAGAAACCTAAAGTTCAAGCATAAGAGGCTGCATAAATCGAGGATACACGACAGAAGGGATTAATCCTTTTATTTAAAAATTTCACCTTCAACTAGCGTGGGTTTTTTCCATTTTTTTACTGAAATCGGTCAAAAAAATGAAATCAAATCACACCATCTCTGTAATAAGTGAATGCCCTTTTTTCTCCTGAAGTTGTTGGAATTATTCGTAATAAGATATTGGCTACAATTGAAAAGGTCTTATCAATAAAATTTTCATTTATCCGAGATCTAGGCATAGGTAGAAATCCATTCTATAATTTAATTAATTATCGTGTGAGAAATAAATCCCACAAATAAAGGAATTGTACAATACAGTGCGAAATAACGTAAAAATGGACTCATTAAT